GACTGATTCCCTTTCGGATAGTGTCTAGCCTCCTTATCTCTACCGACCATTTGGGATATTTTTGATTTATCTTGACCTTCTCTGAGGATATTCTAGAGTGGTCCTTGATAAGCACTACAAGGTCTCTGTATTCAACCTTTTCGCCTCTCTGCTGTCGATCTCCCAATGCTTGTCTGGTGAGCTCAGCGATTTTGCTTTTGTTGATTTCGACCACGAACTTCTTCCCCTTCTCTGGGGCTGTCACCCCGGGGAGCACCACTTCTATGTTGATCATGTTGTGATCGGAGAGTTCTTTGCTCCTGATCCTAGTCTCATCGATCCTCATGCTCCGGATATATTCCCGAGCTCTGTCAGTGCACAGCACGTAATCAAGTACTGCTTGGCCCAAGTGTGGCTTCCCTCACACATCTCTGCCATATTCATGATATGAAGCTGATTCTGCTCTACAAAGTCCAACAATAGGTGTCCCCTGACATTCTGCTCACCTGCCCATTGAGCTAGGTGGGCGTTCGTATCCCCTCCGATCAGTATGAGTGAATTCTGTTTCCTTCGTTTTCTGAGTACCTCTCCTATCTCTCTGAATAGACGATTATTCTTCCCAATAGTCTCATGAGTTTCAGACACACTGATTATTATTAAAACGTGTTTGAGAACCTTCATCCCTATCGCAATATAGTCCTTGCCTTTCTCCGACCATTCCTCATCTCCGAGGCTCTCGGGTACCAGAATCCCAGTGCCCGCTTTGGCATCTCTTCCTGAGCGCCCTGTTGGAGCCCGCAAACTGGTAGCCCTTGATTGTCGGAGGTGTCTCATCATTCATCAACCATGTTTCACAGAGGAGGATTATCCCTTCCTCTGTGTTTTCGAACGCATTCATCATTAGCTTCGTGCATTTGCTCTTGGTCCTGCCCCCAGCTAGATTGAAAACACAGATACTTAGGGTGGTTGATCTTACATTAGCCTTTTTATTTCTAGTGCCTCTGTACCTCACCGTTTTTGATCCGTCAATCTGAGCTTTCTTTCGCTCTGGTTGGCAGGACTCCTCATCCGATCTATAGCCCGGCTCAGTCCACTCGGGCAAGAGGTATCGGAATTCCGAGTTCAGATGAATCTCCAATTTTACCCCGAAAAGAGTGCAATAGTCGAGTTTGCGGAATGTACGGACTCGAGGGGCGTTTCAGAGGTGCAGGGACAAATACCGCCGGTACAAGAGAAATACAAGTACCTGGGAATAACGCTCTGTAACTCGCGAAACTACCTAAGGGAACGGGAGAAAATCTGGGAGAGAGGGCGGAGAAAGAACTGAGACAGATGCTCGCGAAGTCCTCATGGCGCTTCAACAGATTTATGGTGACAAAGATACAATGGAAGAGTACAGCAGTACCCGCCCTGACGTACGCGAATTCGATCACAACTCATGTCCACAAGACTGCGGAAGAGACTTGAAAACCTACAGCGAGAAGCTGGTAGATAGGCCTCAGGGGGGCCTAAGTCGAACACAGCGGTAGAATTCATCGACGGGGAGCTGGGTTGGTCCAGCTTCGAGGCGAGATAGGCCAAAAGCAAAATCACGTATCTTGCAAGAATAGGCGAGATGAGTGAGACCAGATGGCCAAAGGCGATCTTGACGATGCTTAAAATTACCAATATGCAAACCAAACTTCAGGACAGGAGATCGGAGCTGAGGGATAAATTTAACTGTCAGGAGCGCTGGCAATCGCCGATCAAGAGTAAACGGATAAGCCGGGCGGCCTACAAGAAATATGTAGAAGAATCGGTGCGAGCCAAACTAGACTCAGATTGGCTGGACGGAATGTCAGGTAAAACCACCTTAGACAGATACATGAGTTTCAAGACTGCGAGTGGCACTATCGAGCACCTATACGATAACACGCAAGGCAGTCGCCTCCTTGAATGCGAGAGCAGGATGCTTGCAGACCAGGAAATATCGGTCACGCTTCAAGAACATCGATCCAACCTGCCAAAGATGTGGCAAAGCCGAGGAAGCTCTGGAACATGTGATAATGAAATGTGACAGCCCGCCGGAGGCCGAGTACATCGTGCAAAGACAACTAGGGCTACATGAAGACAGCACGCCGAGGATGATCACGAGGACTAGAGTGCTACTAGAGGAATGGGAACGGAGGAGGACTACCACCGGAACCGTAGAAGGATATCACATGAATCGACCTGCTAGAGACATCGCCCCTGCACCAGGGTCATCTGATATATATTTAGACTGAGTGAGATATAATCAGAGAGGGTCAATAAACCATCCATCCATCCATCCATCCATCCAAGAATCATCCATTCTTGACGCCCGATATGATCGTGCGCTTGCCCCCCTGGGCGGAGGAGAATTTATTGAATAGCGGATTCCCGATCACACACATAAGTGAATCTGGCAGTAGCAAGTAGCAATTAGCAGGGTCTCCGAGACTAATGTCTAAGGGTAGAGGGCACGAAATGAGCGGTATTTCAACGAGAATGATACTTAGTGAAGCAACTAGGGCAGAATGCTCTCCGGCGATATTCGTAGATTTTCTTGGTCCTAGTTCCTTCCTTGATTTGCGCGAAGGACGCAGCGCCGGCTTGTGGCCCCATCGGTCGAGATGTGAGAGCTAAGGTCTGGAATCGGTAGGTATCCACGTATAGCTGGAGCGACAGGAATGGGTCGGCTCATGAGACCTGTTTGTCGCCCGCTTATGAATAGTTGCTTCACAAGGGGAATGATGAACGGTCGCATCGGGATCTTTCTCTTCAGAACACCTTCGTAAAGGATTGAGGCATACACTACAGACATAAGGAGTACTTTCAGGAAAATTCGATTCCACCATTTCTTAGATTTCCGGTCGGGGTCATACGTTGACGTTTTTTGATCACAGAGATCAACTCCACCGATGATTCCGTTGTAGAATGCGATCGCCTCTGGACACGGAATGGATAGCCTAGATCCGTCTTTGGACTTCCTCGCGACATCCCTCTTTCGGGCACTGTGGCAATTGCACTGAGCATTGGGCTCGCGAATTAGATCCTACTCGGGAGAAGGAGAAATCGATCCCTCGTCATGGCTGACTTCAGAACGGGATTCCCAAGGCTTGGCTCCGTGGCCCAATAGTCCCTTATCTTGGGCGCATCGTTGAAGCCCATCATGGGGAAACAAGCGAGAAGCTATCTTGATCTCACCGGGGTCAGTTCTCAGAACCTCTTCCCCGACTTTTCTCCGAGAATTTGCAGGCGAGCATTGGTGCAAGTGGCAACATTGTCACAAATATCTTGGGGAAAAACAGCCATAAATGCGTCGAGTTCGGTGGACCCGGAGCTCAAGGACGCGAGAACTCGCGGCGCAACCTCTCGCGGAATGGTGAAGCGGGGGGAGAACGACGAACCGCGTTGTACCCAATTATTCGATGTGATTGAAGTCTTTCGCATCTCGACGAATATAGCGTTGCGCTTCTCGCAAGCTTGTGATCTACACAAAGCACTTCGAAATTATTCGGACAATCTAATAGGATTTTACCAAGGAATGTTCGTTCCTTTGTCTACGGGGATCGAGGTCGATTGAGACGGAATCGGAAATTCCGCAGAAATTATCTCATCTTGTATGCTTGCTACTCAATGCGGTCCTTCGCAAATCTCCAAACTCACAGAGACAAAGTTGGGTCATGGCGGACAGCTCGGGTGGAATCGCTCCGAGGAGCTTCGTGCACAAGCGAACCTTAGCATCAGTCTGACGTTCTACGAACACTCATTAAAGTTCTCATGACTTACGACGTGGACATCACTTCTAAATCGCTCACTCTGCGCCAATCGTCAACCTCAGCTGGGCCATGTTTTGGAGTACCTTTTCGCTTCAACGGGCATCTTCTGGTGGGAGCTCCGGCACAGAGGAGAGGACTTTCGATTGAGGCATTCATTGGCAACGAGTCGGAATTCGGAAGGGCTCGCTTCTCCGAGAGTACTCTCGATCCCGTGATCATCCTCAGATTCCTGATTCTCAATCGGCTTTCGGGTTGTGATTTCCGACGTCAACCCCAACATACCTACGCAGGGAGCACTCGTTTCTCAGCAACGATCCCGTTCCCGTTGGTTTCCCAGGCCCGGTACCAAAAGGTAAAATCGTGTTTGAGGACCTCCATCCCTATTGCAATGTAAGCCTTGCCTTTCTCATCTTCTTCTCAATCTTTCCACGAGTTGCATCGTCTTGGATCCCGACGATAATCTGCTCTTTGAGGGCTTCGTCCGGACCATACCTTGCGAAGTCACATTTCTGGGCGAGTTTGCGAAGCAATGCCACGTAATCAGCCACCGACACCCCAGGCAGTTATCGTCTTCGCCTGAACTCGAACCTTGCGGCAGCCAGGCCTTGCTGCTCCGCGAACCGAGTCGTCAACCGACTCACGGTTCTCTCGAATTATGAGGGTAGCTGCTCACCTAGCTGCTCCTCCGGCTGATCGCGGATCATCCGATATTGTATTTGACCCTCCGGGCCTAGGCAAAACATCAGCGTGGCTATCTTCTTTTGATCTGTGTCGCCCACAATTCAACAAGCCGTAAGATAATTGGTGAACATCTCGTACCAATCTTCCCAAATTATCGGAGGCTCACCTGGGCACGACAGGAAGGGGGGTGGCGGAGGCAAACTTGGAGCCATCGTGCGTTCTCCACGAGTTTTTCTGAATCATGCACGATTCTGAATCCGAATGTCGACTGCGCCAATTACGTACACGCGTGCTGCTGGCTTCCACAGGAGTCATTTTATTCCACAGAGTCAGTCTCTAGTTACCGTCCGCCGCTAGGCGCCGCTACTGCTCAACTAGCTACGAACTGACTACGCTACACATTACTTACCTGTTGTCCCTTCCCTGAAACCATTCGAGACCAACGATTCGGGATCGGACGACCGAGAATCGGGGAACCAAGAATCGAATGATCGGAACCGAGAATCAAATTATCGGGCTCCGCCGCGCGGTCCACTCAAGAATCACGAGGCTGCGGACTTGAATCACGCTTGAATTTAAAACACATTTATTGCACATAATTATTTACAGACTCTTAATAGTGAAGTTGAGATTTAATCGAGTGTCAGTTGAGTAACAAGCTCTCTTATCAGAGGATATATAGAACATTCAGCTCTGTTTTGGTACTCCACGGATCGGCGCAAGACGGATGCTATAAGATTGAGCGCTCGAGAATTCTGAGAACCCGCGGCGTCGGTTTTCCGATCTGTCGCCAGTGATACCGCGTTCGTTTGCAAATCATACACCAACGGCACCACAATCGAGAGAGGGCGAACCTCTGTGGCAGACACTGGCTCGGCGTCTTTCGTTCCGAGGGGGACCAGTTGGAAAAAGAACAATACTCGGTTCCGATTTATGACAACTGATGTCATTCCCGGCGGTGCTAATGGTGGGCTCGCCGCCGGAGGTATCGTAAGGCACAGCTGGAAGCTCCATCTCGAGTTGAGGCAAGGACAGAGCTCCAAACGCATAAGCTGAACGAAATCTCGCAATATTCGCTGCGGTGTGTTCATCAAGCGCGTGAACGAGATGAAAGCGTTCGGCTTAAAGGGGATCGAGGCGACTCTCGAGTCGAAGTACCGTTCAATCATCTGAATGTCTTCGACAGAAAATTGCTGCGTAGCTGATTCGTGTTGCGTGATTTTGACATGCAAGGATTGCATGTCAAGCGGATCGAGACAGACTCTGTAAACCAGCTGATCGAGTCTGAAGATCACTACACCAGCCTCCTGAATGTGGCGGACTTCAGAACCCACGTCGCCCCTCGTCAACACTCGGTGAATCGTGTTTCGCATGAAGGCGCATCCGAGAGCTCGCTCAATCGGTGAATAACCGCTGGAAGTCGGAGTGCACAATAAATCTAGATTTTCGTGACTGACAACGATCGGTATCGCGGCGGCCCAATTTCCGCCTCCTGCGGGAGCCGAGCGCGACATCGGAGGTCGCATGAAAGCGTCGGCCGACGAAGGACCTCCAAGCGAAGGCGTTGCAAACAGCTGACGCGACGAGGGTCGAGGTGCCGGCGACAGAGGCCAGGAGTTAGCCGGTGACGCGGAGAGGATCGGGAACGCCGGCGAGGTGGGATCGTTCGAAGAGGGTCCAGGCAAGCTCGATGGATTCGAAGCAGCAGCAGAAGGAGATGGTGAAGAAGAAGTCATATAAGGCGACAGGTTCGGCTGCTGGGCAGAGTATGGTGAAGAGGGTAGCGGTGCTGCCAGCGGTGAAGTCGGCGCAAGGGCGGATTGCGTACTGACAACGACCGTCGGTCCAAATGACGGGTTCGGGGAGGCCGTACTTCCGCCAAACGTAGCCGGAGAGGGATGAGGAGAAGCTGCCGCGAGAGACGGCGGCCCAACCGTTTGGTGCTGCGAGGACCGTGGTGGGATGAGACTGTCGTCGCAGCAACCGCCACCTAGAGATCGTGCGCTCGCTGGCGAGCCCGTCTTAGCTGCCGTCGGTGACGGAAACGGCGCGACACCTTCCGGGAGGAGAGGCACTGCAGGAAGGTGGGGATCAGACTCCTCCTTCTTCACCTCGTTACTCGATGAAAACTTGCTGAGAAACGCTCGTAGAGCTGGGATTTCAAGAAAGTCTTCCACGTGACGACTCTCGTCAAAATGGCTGAACGCGCCGTCCCGTATTATAACGCAGCCAGCACCTCTTCGGCATTGAATCTCTAAACAGCAACAGGCTCGATAGACGAGCCGGAAACACACCGATGATTGAGGTATGATCATGAATGTTAGAACAGGAACCTGCGGTCTAGAATTAATGACGCCCAGCTGCGGGACACTCGGCAAGCGAGACAGTGACAGCAAAGGTCGATGAGTGTCTCTCAGAGTTTGGAGGAGTTCAACTACCGACTGGTGCCGATTGAAGTCATCGGACAGCTGATGTGCGATAATCGAATGAGGGTTCATCGCAGAGGCTGGTCCATCCACGCCGAAGACGAGTCGAAATCTGCTTTCCTCCAGATAAACCGTCACAGTGTAATTCACCGTTGTTCTCTCCGATCCATAAGCGATCGTGAGACGCTGGTAAGAAAAGGATCGAACCTCAAAAGTTTCTACCAATGCAGCATAGGCGTCTTTTTTCAAATCAGCCTCGAATTTCAATACAACTTTGTACAGTTTGCCTATCATCAGCCAATCCGCCAGCCATTCGTCCACCACAGAGCCAGTATTGCTATGGCTGAAATCATAGTTCAAATGAATCACTCGGGTTGCATTTCGCTCTTCCTGCGTTATGAGCGGGCAATCATGGAAGATGAGCTCACATTGCCAATTCGCCTTCGTTTGTAAACGGAAGGTGCAGCTGAGCAGGCAGCGCCGCAGCTCTTCGACCAAATCGACAGGAATGTCACCACCTACGCCGTAAGCCGGCATCTGAGCAATTTTCACACACAAATCCGCGCCTCCCATTCGTTGACTGACGCCTCGGTGACAAATTCCCCGGAGACCTAGCTCCCGAGTGAGTGAGCTGAATGGCAGCCTATCGTCACAGGCGGCGACAACGCTAACCACCTCGCTCAGAGGATACCCTGAGAAACGCGGCTTCTTCGGAGAACGATGTCCGCCTCCAACGGCGGCTCGGAACGATGACGGCCTCTTCCTTTGCTCCTTACCCGATGACGCCAGAAAATCTGAATCTATGGAAAGACCTGCATGAGCCTGGCATTTATCGAGGGTATTGAAAGTGCTCAGCCGATTATCCTCTGGAAAGAACAGAACCCGCTTTAGTCTAATCGTCAGCCTCGCAGCCTAGGGACTAGGGACGATGTGTAGCATCCTCTCGCTTGAGAAGTATTCGATCTATTTAGAGGACTCGCCCAAATGAATCCGCCCAGAATCGAAACATCCGGAAATCGAGAAGAAGGCTCGTATAGCGAGAAGCAGGCGGCCTGTTCGACAAGTCGGCTCCCCGGGCCAAGAGAGGAATACAGTGAGGGGGTTACGGGGAAATCGATTCAGTTCGGTGATTCTATCAAATTATTGATGTTCGTTTCTGAGCTAACCTGTAACGCTCATAAGGTAGTATTTGAAGTGAACATGGTCCGACGGTGAAGCTGCTTGCAGCTCGATCACAACGTAATAATGGATGTGTTTGCAGAGCTTCACGTACAGAGTGAACTTCCCCATCCTGTTCAGTGGATGGCCGTCTGGAATGGCCGCCATCACCGGGTTGTGTTCCATAGCGAGCACCGGGAGGTGTTGGAGAGACCGCTTACAACGCTTCAGAATGATCCAGAGCCTCAAATTCAGAACCGTCGACGCGAGACGACTCCTCAGGTTGCCGCCAGCTTTCGGATCTTTAGCTAGAGCGTTCACGATTTCTTGAAGTTCCACTATCATCGGCGGTCGCTCCTCATCATCTTTGACTTCGTCGTATTGGGGTACGAACGCTTGCACGTATCCCGTGTGCGTATCAACAGTGAGTACGAGTTTCTCTGATGGCGAACATGGATGCACAAGAGGGATTTGGAGCAAGGCTGGGCTCAAGCCGAGCGTACATTCGAAGTCTGATGGCAAGAGCTCTCTAAAATAGTTGTCTCTCAAGATCGAAAGTCTCTGCCTTGAACGTATGTGTATCGTCTGGATCAAAAGCCGCTCAATTGAGAGAAACCCGCTATTGGGCTCGATGCAACTCAGCTCTTTCTCTTCTCTAAGGTCGGGCACATGAGTCACCTGGAGAGGTTTGCACGGATCCTCTTCATTTAAATGAATCACCAGAGAGAAGGGTTGTTGCTGGTGGTCAAGCAGATGTCGACTCCAGAAATTCAGTTTCAGCGTGGCGCCTGGAGTGTACTCATCGATCCGGACGGAGTCCCCAAAACGCTCTCGGCACAAACGAACCGTTTGCGTGTGCAGTACTTCCAGTTGCAGACTCAAAGAGAAGAAGTGCAAACACTCAAACATGGCGTCAAGAGGTCTCGGATCATCACAAATGTGGGACTGCACAAGCTGATGGATGTAAGAAATCTGCAAAGGATGCACCTGAAATTCGAGAATCAGCCCGGGTTAGCAGAGATTCGCACGGTGCCGAAACTCCCATCGAGCTCACATATCATGCATGAAATACTATACTGACCAGAGATTTACTACAATCCCAGGCTGATACATCCTCGACCAAGAAACTCATGTCCAAGAGTCTCCACGGAACTTGCGGCCCGTCGCCCATGAGAGTGAGCGAAACTTCGAATTCATTCTCAACACGAAATAATACACGGCCTCGCTTGATCTCCAAACACTGCATGTATGGCGGTAAGTCGGTGGTTACGAGCTTGTACTGTATGATGCGATTCAGTCGTTCGAGAACACATTTCTTCTTCTCGGCGGAAATGGGATCGGGCGGGATGATCTTGTCCCTAATGCAGTTGGGCAATCTTGAATATGTTCCTGTGGTAAGTATTTCGGCCGCACAGGGGATGTGGAAACTGGGTAGCCTCGCTTGCACCAACGTGTCGCGAGACAGCATGGCGAACATGTCAGCCGTTTCAATGAACAGCATGCTCTGCTTGTCCAGGAAGTTGACAATGCTCGCACATTTTTCGACTTTCCCCGCGCTCGCGGCCCACTTCACCAAGGCTAGAAGTCGAATGAAGAGTAGACGAGTGCTGTGGGCAAAACCCGTGATCTCGATTTTCCGATCCATATCCGATTTTCTCGGGAGCAATTCAGCCAGAACTGTCAGCTCGTGATAGGTCTTCTGGAGAACGAAGTCGATAAGCCGGCCCAGCGGAATCGTAGCCGGACCTACCGCCACAGCCGTTGCGAATCCCGGCACTGAGAGTGCCGCCATCACGACCGTCGCCGGTGCTGGTGGAACAGCAGCAACAACGATCAGACCGGGCGCATGCTCAAGCTGAGAGCTACCTTGACATGACAGGCGTAGTGAGACGAACGGAGCTCCCCGGAGAACAACATCCACGACGAGCGAAAGTATACTTGTACGAGAATGCCGAACACACGGCGACGTCGAACAAGTCCAACACTCCTCCACAATAATAAGCTCTTCTGCTCAGCCTCGTAAACAACAAACAACGAGGGAAACGTGTCTCCCCCCTTCCGCACACGCGCCGCCTCTCTCTCTTACCGATCCGATACATTTTCGGTCAGAGTTGGACGCGCAGAGAGTTGCCTTCAGGCGCGATCATGCCCGACAGGACTTGTTGCTTCTAGCTTGTTGTGTAATGGCGGTGGTTCCGTCAAGATGATTCCCGCGTGAAGAGGGAAGGGCTCTGTATACGAGGGATCAAGCTCCTCCATCGATATCACCACGCTGTCTGGGATTCTGTTTTTCACTATACATATATCCGTGATGATGATGCTGCTACACAAAAATCAGGGACCCCAGGACGAGACACCGGGGATGCCATTCCGGGTGCGGAGGCACGGGTTTCCCATCGGAACGGCTGGAGCGCTAAGGGGTTACGAGGGCGACGAAAAAGATCATCTGACTCAGCTAGAAGCGCGGAGTCGCGGAGGCTGAGAGCTGATGAGAGTAAGTAGCGCTGCACTTGCGACGATGATGACGATGATCTCTGCTGGAGCGAGGGAGAACATGGGATTTTTACGTCGTCTCGCATTTCCTCCGTATCGACGCTGCGGCGCGAAGATTGATGCTAAATAGCTTCCTGTAGCGCCCGTGATCCCTGATACATCAGAGTTCGGATCAGAACATACATGGGACCTCCCGCGCTATTTCTCCCGCTTCCCTAGGAATTTCGAGCCCGAAAAGCTCCGAAGGCCTATGCGTGCTCAGCGATCCCCTGAAAACGCTCGCACCGTCGTCGGAACCGACACCTCATTGCTCATCGCGGACTCGTACACTCTCCTTCGAGGACAACGTTCACTTCACAGGAATAGTGAACAGGAATAGCCATCTCTCACGGGGATATGAGCCTTTCGCATTTTGTGGGCGAGAGCGATCATGTCAGCGAGAGTCGAGGGTTATTGCCCAGCTCAAAGAAATTCCCGGACGTGATGGGACTCTCGAGCGGGAACTCGCGAGATTCGCGCCCTTCAAGATGGCGAATTTTCCCTGTGTTCCGAGAAAGCAGGAGGATACGCCCTCGACGAGTCTGTTAGGATCAAGCGCGGCGTCGATAGGACGGGTTCATGTTAGACAGGAGGACTATCCCGTATCCTGTGAGTCCATCGCCATCGTCTTCACGCATTTCTCGTGGGGATCTGACTTGTGTGCGGCATTCGGAGGTCATCCTTCGGAGGCTTCAGGCTACGCACGTACTTTCTACGTCACAGTCATCACTCACGTACGATTTAAGGCAGGCTGCAGCTTGCGTTGATGCGTACAGCTGTAGGCAACAGCCGACCCCTAATTCGCGCGCTGGCGCGCTGCGGGAGATTCTCCGTCTGCTGAGTGTTGTTACCGTCTGCTGAGAAACCTCTCTCCTCTCTCGGACCGTGTCTATCATATGAATGATTCCCGTCGTTGTCGCTGTGACTGACGGTGCAGATTATAAACGATAGTTGAAAATCTGCTCCGAGGGCTGGACTTCTTCGTCATTCCGAATGGCGAATGAGGAGGGCATAGCCAATTCTTATATGCTGCGGGCAAACCTGTGTGGTCATGCACGAGACGTGCGTGTCGTCGCTGAGACATGCTTTCCAGAAGGGGGTATTGTCACTGGTTCCAGGGATTTCACCACTCGAATTTGGACGTACAACGGGTATGATAGGATTAACCGCCTCTCATTTCGTGCTCGCAACTCTATGCACCGAGACGCAGCCGCTGGCGCTGATCCCTTGATCAGACACCAGAGCGTACTCGGAATAGGTACAGCCTTTCCTCCGTGCGCCTCTTCTCCGTAAGAAGGCCGACGCTGCACGTCGACAGTGTGCGTTCTCTGCTCAACGCTGTCTTATCGAGCTCCAAGGGCGCGATCGGCGGCAGCCGATTGTCCGTCGAATCCAGTAACGATTGCAGAGAGCGATTATCGCATTGCAGAGCGCAAGATGAGAATCGCGCATTCGTTGAGTCGCACTGCCTCAAAGGTCCGACCGATTTTGTGTCGGCTGTATGTGCTATGCCGCCATCGGACCAGTTCCCGCAGGGTCTGATTCTGGTCGGCTCACACGACTGCAACATCTACTGCTTCAATTTGGAATCAAACTCGCCCTTGTACAAACTTCTGGGACATTCCGGGGCCGTTTGCTCCTTGGCTGCCGGGCAATTCGGAACTCTAGTCTCAGGTGAGCGTGCCGTGGACGAGCTCCGCCGACTACTCTGCGGCACTGCGGACAGCAGCTCATACGAATAAACAATCATTCCAGGCTCGTGGGATAAAACGGCACGGGTGTGGTCGGGCCAGAAGTGCACGATGACTCTCGAAGGACATCAAGGAGCAGTCTGGGCTGTGTCGCTCATGCCCCAACAAGGATTGATACTGACAGGTACGGGCCCTACAATTCTGCCGCCTGGATGTTGGTAGCTATAAAGGAAACCGTCCACTCCTATTAGTATCGTAAGGCCACTGTCCCGAGGCACCACGCGCGGCGGAATGTCGAGTCCAATCGAATAAGCCGCAGCTTCCCGTGCGCGGAATCCTTCCTCCCTTGCCACCTGTCGCTCCGGTCGAAAATCGAACCGGAAATCGCGTAACAAGAATGAAAAAGGCTGTCTCTTCTAGGGTCTGCGGATAAGGCCATAAGGCTTTGGCGAGCTGGCAAGTGTGAGAAAACCTTTTTCGGGCACGAGGATTGCGTCCGCGGGATCGCTGTTCTGTCAACCAGGGAGTTCCTCTCCTGTTCCAATGATGCGACCATTCGTCATTGGGAAGTAGCTGGGGATTGCCTTCATATCTATAGAGTGGGTGCTCCTCTGGTAATTGTATTGCATACATGGCTAGATTCTGTGCCCTAAATGAGACAGACTTTCATCTAAGTACCCGTTCCAGGGCCACACAAGCTTCGTGTACTCTATCGCTACCCTCGAAGACAGCGACTTCTTCGTCACTTGCGGAGAGGATCGCACGGTCCGAGTTTGGACCGCCCGCGGCTCGTGTCAACAGACGATTCGAATGCCATGCCCCACTGTTTGGAGCGTCGCATTGCTCGCGAACGGCGACATCGTGGCTGGCTGCAGCGATGCCATAAGCAGGGTCTTCACACGGTAGTTACAGACAAACTGACGAAGCCGAAAACGCCGGCGCCGCTGTCATATCCGTCCTTTAACATGATTATCTCGCTTGAACTTGTAAGCCTAAGCTCGACATTCCCGCAGATACGAAGCTTTGAAAGCATCGCCCGACGCTATGAAATCTTTCCAAGAGCAAGTAGCGAGCAGCTCGCTACCGGCACAGGAACTCGGTGATCTCAAAACGGAGAATCTCCCAGGAGAAGAGGTTCTCAACGAGCCGGGTAAACGGGAGGGCCACACTATTCTGGTGAAAGAAGGACAAAATGTGTGCGCCTACATGTGGTCCATGCAGCAACAGACCTGGCAAAAAATCGGTAAAATCCTCTCCTCAATATACAGATGAGGGGGATCACTCCCGGGGATCGGCCCTTGTTGTACTATGCCGCGGCCTCTGCTAATCCTCGTTTCAAGCGGCCCGACGAATATGACCTCGCTAATTTCCCATTCGTAGGCGATGTCGTTGGAAGTCCGGACGGATCATCGGCAGGCGGTAAAATAATGTTCGAGGGAAAAGAATACGACCATGTTTTTAACGTCGATATCGACGACAACGCGAAGCCGCTGAAACTACCGTACAACCTTACGGACGACCCATGGATCACGGCGCAAGCTTTCATTCATAAACATGGCTTGCCTCAAGATTACCTCGACAACGTCGCGAAGTTCATAATCAACAACACTTCTCAAGGTTTGGGCACTATGTGTTGATGACCTTAGCTTTCCCAAAAAAAAGTTACAAGTAATCCGGGATTCATGCGCGGCTTATTTTGAGAGTCGCGCAGCATTCTAACGGAAATCTTGCTCATTTACTGGTAAACTTTCGTTTCCGAAGGCGTAACAACGAAATCAATCGACCCCGCGCAGTCATCGACCGAATATTGCGACCCTTTCACCGGGAATAGCCGGTACGTTCCCGGAACCAGCAGAGCTGCTTCTATAGACGCCTCAGCTCCGAATGGAAGCTCGAACGACGTGAGTCTACTCCTTCGAATTGATGAGCGAAGCATTCACTGGCGCGACTCATCACAAGATAAAACTCTCTCTGGACCCAGTCAATTAGCGGAATAACCGTTCCCTCCAATCCTCTCGTCTCTTGAGCCGACTCGAATTATGCCTCAATACCCGTAGGTGAGACACATACCGTACACGGGAAAATGGATTGCTTTCGATATAGCGAACACCTCCGGCATGCTGAACAAGCTGAGGGAGTTCAATGGTCAAGTTCCGCCAGAAAATATCGTGAAGGACGAGCAACACCTGGATGAGCTCAAAGATCTCATCGAATGCAAGATAGACAAGCTGGAGGAAATCCACGTTCGCACGTTGGAGGCGATCATTGATTGGCCTAACGGTGCGTCGACTTCCACTTGTGGACGACGATGAATTATTGCCTTTAGAGCGTTCCTTTCAAACGAATGCCTCGCGGCTACTATCTCACCATGAAACGCCGTTTGAACTTCACAGAATTCATCTTCCCGGCCCTCGATGTGCTACGATGTGCAATCCGGAGCGATGCAGTCAATTCCTTCCTCTGTACGGGGCCCGGTGGCTCAAAACTTGTTGCGAAAATTGTCTCGCTCATCACGTCTCCCGCACCGGCGAATCGTATGCTAGCTTTACGGTCAGTTGGCCTTCTTGAACTTACTCTGTTTTGAAGACACGCAGGGGATGGGCCATGTTTTTCTGCCCGTCTCCGGCCCGGATCTTCCTCCATGCATAGTCGGAGGTACAGGATACAGTCGCGCGTCATGCGCAGCGCATGCTCATTACTAGGGCCTGGCGTTTGTGGCGGACTTTTTTTGGGGAATATCGCGGACCTGTGGCGGATCTCCCAAGCAAAAATCGCGGACTTATGGCGGATGCTTTGTCGACGAATCGCGCTAACTCGGGAAAAAGACAAGCGCAGCTTCATGGCTCCGAACAAGCAAAACGAAAGCTCATGCTCATGTTTGTCTGCTGTCGTCAATTACCTTATGCTACCTAGGAGGCTTGAAGCTAGGACCAGAACTCACATTGCGTCACTGTTATGATTAAGCATATTGTACATGCTGAGATTCTTACTTTTTATACTACGTCTATCATCTCGAAGAACAGTCGCGTGTTTCCTGAAGATCTCTCAGCCGAAACACTGTTGCCGGGTACACTCAGACAAGTCAGAGCGATCTTCGCCAATTCGGGAAAACGAGCCGTCGCATTTATCCACGAAACTATCGGATCAGACGAAGCCTCGAGTTTTCTCTTGGCCGACAAGTACAGTCGGAGTTCAGCCTTCCCCGGATCGTTTTCCTCGAACCACAGTATATTTCCGATGACGTAGCCGGCTTCGATCTCGATTGTTTTCAACTTCGCGGGGTCGAATACGCGACAGGTGCGGATGAAGTCCGCAGCGGATAAGGATATCTCGCCATCGATGGTCCCCTTGGAATCTATCGAACGGGATGCGGGGCTGTCACGGGAGGAGTCAAACTGACCCTGCTTATCCCGTGAAAAAAACTCCGAAATTCGCGGAAGGTGGGCATTCCGGCCGAAAATCGCGGATTTCATGGCGGATGTGGCGGCCGGCACAAACGCCTAGCCCTACTCATTGCCCTCGCCCCGAAGTTTCGAGCTGGGCTATTTACCCAAGGGGATCAATGGAACGCGCTCACCGCCGTCTCCCATGAACTTCACGCAACCGTGCCATTTCCAGATTTTTCGTGAATATGTTCCTGAGAGAGGCCGGTCAGCAATTGGCTCATCTTGAATGGGAGCGAATCCTGAAGGTATGTAAGGCTCCGAGAACGTCCTTGATGGCGACAGTGTCAACGGAACGATACTCCGTTATGATCCATCATTCCTCCGCCTTTCGGCACTGCTCTTCTCATGTATAAAACGTCGAGACACCGTTGACTCTTCAGATCTCTTCCGAGCACGGTTTCAATGGCAATAAGAACACCCAGATTGCTCTGGGTTCTTTGTATCTGAATTATGTGATTTTGAGCAACTGCAAATCCGATGAGTGAGTAGCATAACTCTACATACATGATATGGGATCGATAGTTTACACTAGCCGCACTCAGAAATGACGAGTGTTGGATCTGAACTAAAATTAAGAACTCCTTCTCTAATAGGACGAATGCTTCTCGGAAGCGCTGGCTGGTTCAGAGTATGTGTGAAGTCATTCCGAAACTCTCCGACTGCGAAGCGCAATTCAGGTCTCTCCTCGCTCTCGGTACTCTCATATTCAACGACAAAGAGCTCTGTCAGCTGGCCAATGGCTTCAAACTCACGGAAACCTTGACGAACATTTGCACCCACGGGGGCGAGTCTCTCAAGCTCAAACAGTGTGCTCATCAATGTATAAATCATATCCTCGATTTTTGTGTCTGAACGAGGATGTATGAGAATTACTTCCGTCTGCAAGCTTCCGGGGAAACTCCATCTTCATAGCAGTGCCGAATGCGAATAAATGAGGATATATATTATCATACTCTAGGAGACCTCCCCTTCCCCCGTTTCGATATCGTGCGTGTGATATTTGAATTATACCCACCTCTCCCATAAACTAAATTTTTGTCTACTCGATCGAGCGTTCGACTGTTCTCCTTGGGAACGCGGAGAAGGCATTCCCGATTATCGGAAGGATATCATCGCAACATACATAGAAATCGAACAATTTATTTCGATGATATTCATGAGCGGGGAAGATGAGCCCACGAGATCTCAATGCTCTCCCTGGTTTGTAGAGGCAATAATGGCGACCACATCTCACTCAGAGTATCGCGTACTGATCATAAAGAAGCTCGCGAATCCTGAAGTAATCATCGGTGAGAGCACCCTCGACACTGAGGCGACCCGTCTCGTTGCGTTTCACAGCAACACTGCAGTTGTTGCAGTACAAGACGCCTCCAGAAAACTCAGCACTGATTCCGCTCTTGACGAGAACCTGAAATGTAAGTGAAAACTTGAGGGAAGCGTAAAATATTCCGGTCAAAAATACGACACGTCCGAGTAAGCAGTTTGCGCCTTCGGGAATGCCGTTTTCTATTGAAGCCGGATCCCTCCCACGACCAGGATATCTCAGCGCAACGGATCTGTAGACGCGATGGATGCTGTACAGACGTTTTGGGAGACAGACTCCGTTTCATTGGATCCTCTAACTTAGCGACTGATCAAGTCTCTTCCACCAAGATCCGGTGGCTTCATTGAGGTCCAAGAGTGTATTTTGAACAAACCTGCTTGAAATCAGACAGCTTCAGATCGTTGATGAAGAGGGGATTATGAGGAGCGACGACTCGGTTCGAGTCACCCAACGGCTGGAGAACCATCAACTTTTCTTTGGTTTCTTCGTCGCCCTTGCCGACTAGATCGTTGTCTTCTTCCGGCTCGGCGATCTCCGCATCCAACCAAGCGAGTTCCGCATTCTTAGCTTTGCGGAAACGCAGTCTCGCGAGCAAGGACTCTTTCAACTTCACCTGTAATTGGACGCCAAGGTTTTCATCATTTCGCCTTCATATCGGACAGAGGACATGGAGAATATTTCGTTCTCTACGTGCACGGGAATCGGTACGTTCCGGACGCCAGCCGCCGGCGCTGAATTACATCGGAAAACCGCTTCCGAACGCAAGATGCCATGGGGCTCACCTGATAAATGTGAGACTCGGTGGTGGCATCGACCACCTCATGTGCTTTCGGAGCAAAAACACGATTATCTTGCACACATCCAGAGTTCACGCAATAATCATAAAACGCCGCGGTGTTGGCTTCATCGCCCCCGCGAACGATGACCAGCCTCTTCGGTTTCATCATTTGAACCAGCTGGCGGATCGATTCCCCATCGCTCCGGCCCTCGAAGTCTATGTAGTCAATGCTGCAATTGACTTGTATCGTGACTTCTTTCGCTATGCACTTCGTTGGAATCTCTGCTTGTTCAGTCACTTGCTCCTTCTTCGCGTCGTCTTTGCGGTCCGAAACATGCTGTTGTTGCTGCTGACCCAGCACTGAAGGCTCAAGAATGTCCCCTGGCGCGTTGAGTCCCATGTTCGAGAACATGTCCGTGTTTATGATTTCCCCATATTCATCCCATTTGAGTTTCTCTTCTTTCAGGGGGAACATCAGGTGCGATTTTTTCGTGGGTTTCTGGAAGAACGACTGGCGCTCCGTCAAATCGCCGCTGCTGCCACTTAGTCTCGGACGCTTGGTGTGATCCTGGTGGTGGTGCTGCTGCTGTTGCTCAGACTCGGCCATATCAACGTCTTCGATCGAAGCACCGACGATGACGGCTGCTGCTGCCAAAGCCTCGTCCTCAATGTCGCTCTCATCCGAAGAATCTTCGATTTTAGTCTCTTTTTCCTTTTTCAATCGCTCGTTCCGAACATGCTCCTCCAATTCATCGGCTTCCAGTGCCACTCGTTGCTTCAATGTGAGATGCACGAATTTCGGCCGATTATCGACGAGATTCCTAGCCAGCGTTCCCGGTGAACTTCTCGAAGTCAGAATGACGGAGTTCTTTGGATTGCTCGCCCATAACATGAAGAGATCCCGTCCATATCCCGACTCGAGGTCAGGCATGGAGGCCAGGACAACCTTTGGCTCAGAAACGGATTGTATCTCTCCGTGTGAGTGACAAGGTATGAGATACTTGAACTGGAATGGATTGCTTCGAGCTCCTTCGAAAGAACGCATCACTTTGTCGCTCATCCACTCGACTTGAGATTTCGCAAACTCTATCACATGCGCAGCGACATTACTTGCCATGATCAAAGAGTACGCCATGAGACCGGACTCTTGATTCCTCCATAATTGCTCCAACATGTGAGCAAGCTCGAGAACCCGCCCAGCCGTGTCAACTCCGATGAGGACATTGCCACCTGCTCGCATCGTCTGTATGATCGTGGTCAAGAGCTTCTCATCGCGACTCCGTCTACGTGGTTGGATGTAATTCGCATTGAACGCGTCCGTGATGAGCAGCGAGGGACGCTGGATGGATTCGAGCGCGCAACCGTTCAGATGGCGCTCCCTTTTATGATTGTAATCAACGGCATAGATTATGTCTTCCTCGCCGTCTTTGGTTATCCGCCACACGGTTCCTCCGATCATATGGCCGGCTGGGAGTGGTGTGATACTTATACCCTGGCCTTTGCCCTTGAACGGCAGAGTCTGGTTGTATTTGAGCTGAGTGATCATGTCGAAGGCTTCATCGACGTCATCAAGTGAGAATATGTTGAAGTCCTCCATGCTCTTATGTGATTCGTGCAGGTCGTACATGAACAACTGTCCCATCTTATACACAGGCACCGTGGCATACACGGGACACTTAATTTCGTGTCGCAGGTGTGGGAAAGCGCCCAAGTGGAGCGGATCTGGATACGACAGTAGGATGACGTCTACTTGAGATACTAATCTGGAAAGCTCGCGAATCGGTTTCGGGTTGAAGAACTCGTCCCATCCTAAATCGAGGAGAATCTTGAATTCGTCAATCTGCAGCAGGTAGCAGTGAGGGGACTCGTCATGGACCCCTGAGATGGCGTGAATTTTCACGATAGATGTCATGTCTGTGGAGGGAAAAGTTGGCATCATGAAAAAATTCGCCGTTGATCGGTGCTGCGGCTCAATCAGGAATTCTGCGCCAATAAGCAATAGATAAGTCATTGTCACGATCTCATTTATGTTGGAGCCACAAATTCTTAACCGCGGGAAGGAGTCTGAACCAGGAGCTTCGGGTCGGTGTTCGACTAGAGCATCAATGAGCGCGTGAAGCAGGACTCACCCTTGCCGCGAAACACTTATTCGATGGAGGAGTGGGTCCAGGGACTCTGATCATGCACCATGAGAGAAGGTCTCCTGAGGCTGCGAAACGACGGAATGAGATGGGAGACTCCGGGCGAGCCGTCGTGAGATACTTGACACCAGACAGCGCCTGCTCTCACGAAATCGAGCTCTGAGATGCTTTCTCCGTCACATGCTCACCTATGAGCTAGCAGGTTAGTGATGCGTCGTCGTCACGAAACGCCGCGAAACGCTGTCGATAGTCACCACTCACGCACAGATTCCATTGCTTTTGGTCATGAATTGTACTTCACACTTCGTATGCCTTGCTCGATACAATAACAGTACTGTTATTGTTCTCTCCCTGCTGTCTTCAGCCTCTCTCCAGTCGATTGCAGCCGAAGTCATCATCACTCGAGCAGACGCCACTTTGGTGGCCCTCCGCTGAAGAAGAAGGAAGAGACATGCGACCAACCGGCGGGAGCACACTTCCCACGCAGGCACCGGAATTCAGGACAAACACTGCTAAGCTAGAACAATATACTGAATCCCGCGAATAAGGACCTATCAGATGAAAAACCTCACCATTAAAGTCAGTGAGGGTGGAATTACCCTCTTAAACGTAGTCTTCGAGAAGCGAAAGGTTTTTCATATAATACATACGCGGAACTCGAATGTATCATGAGAATAAAGGTATTCTATTCGCTTGTTCAGCTCTGTCCTTAGATCGCGAAAATATTGCGAACAGCCTCCCTTTTGTCGGAATCGCTGAAGAGACGCTCAGGCGTCCCGAGCTGGAGTCCAGCCAAACAAGTGGTGGACTGTAGAGCGGCTGACCGCTGTCGACTCTAATACAGTCAAATCTCCTCTCGACGGAATCAGCAACCAATTCGGCGAAAGCTTCTGCCTCCGTCTATTGGCTGGCTCGCCGTCAGGATAGTGTTGTTTCTTTTGTTATAGTGAATCTGCACTCCGACTACCAGATTCAAGCGGCCTCGCAAGGTTTGTTGCGACGGAATTTCACTGAGTTTCGAGTTCCGGGGCCACGTCGGTAGGATAATGATGCATGATTCTCAATAGGGAAGTGAATTGGAATACCCGTTACGCTCGACGGTGAGGGGGGGACGACCATCTGGCGGCGGTTATGCTGTCCGCTAGCTTAGCGGAAGAAGCTTCTTTCCCTCTGAACCTTTTCTGGGTGCTCTCTCTCTCTCTGCTTACCACCATAATAATAAACAAAGAAACCAACGACGACTTCGTCGTGTCAGATGTGGGGTTGAAGAATGTGTTAACGTAAGAGGGTGGCAAGAGGAGCGAACAAGGAGATCGTTGCCGCGGAGCTAGTAGCTCTCAGTGAGCGGAGCTGCCGGATTTTCCTTTCGGCCAATCTGTGATGCACGTGCAGCCATGCCTATAAGGACGACGGCGACTTACATCGATATACCCTACAAGGCGGAACTTCAGAATTCGGCAGCTACAAATTCACCCAATGCTGGCGTCTTCAACTATAGACCACGGCGGAGTCTCTGGAGAGTGAGTGTCAGAGAAAGTGTCGTTGACTCATCCTCGGCGGCTCTTCGGATTTTGCAGAAGCTATTCTCCTCCACACGATTCCAGCAATGTCCTCTTCATCTTATCGATGATCCCCCGAACTCTGCAGCGATGGTCGGCTTTCCATTGACTCCGCTGGACAGCTTGGGGATCCTATTTTCGCGCCAAGGTGCTGGTCAAATCCGTGGCTCCTCTCACAGAACTCAGATGAGCGACTGCTGGATCAGAGCGCTCATCGGATGAAATCCATGTATCACAGCAGAGGCGTGCGAGGCAGCGTCTATCATTGGATCAAACTCGATCAAATATGTTATTCGAATGAATTATTCCGGAGGTTGAATCACATTCCGCCGCTTGGGACGGTGATCGAGGCGGCCCTGATATTTCATTTCGTGGCAGCGCCGACGCCGGTGGTTTAGTCATGAGAGCCACCGGACTCCACGTTTCACGTCTATTGGAACGATGCCCTGAAGGCCCGCCGGGCGGCGAAACTGCTTTGCACTGAGCCCTTCTCTTGCTGGTTCCTTCCCCGAACTCGCTGTTCTCGAAGAAAACTGCAAAGAGTGCGAATAGGGGGCCTGAATGCTGCAGCAGTCTTCTGGACCCCCGGAATACTGGGGCGCTGAGCTCTCTCGCTGTGCGCTAGGAAGATCCTGATGAAATGATTATCCATTGCAGATATGGATGCGTCTCTCCCGCTATCAGAGGTATCTGCTGCTCCTTATCATGATAATTATTATTGCGCTCATCTACAACTTGTTTGGAGCATCGAGCGTCGTCGTCAGCCGTTCATCGGGGAAGGCATACGATAGCTACAGGCGAATAGAAGACAGGATTGAACGTCCCGATTCGTACATCAAGAAGGCGCCCCGTGTCGAAGCCGCTGCGGATATACCTCCTGGATCGGATCTCCTCGTCGACGAGAGCTCTCTTGAGAACAAGAGGCAAGTTGTCAACTCGGCCTCCTCCGGCTTACGTTATGCGGAGCACTGCGGAGCTAACAAGGAACTCGTTTTCCTCCCAGGTTAAGCGCTATAAGGTCAGCTTGTGTCCATGCGTGGCGGGGGTACAAGGAATTCGCCTGGGGTCACGACCATCTCCTTCCGATCTCGAAAAAGTTCGACGATTGGTTCGGACTTGGCTTAACGATTCTAGATGCGATCGATACCTTGTTTATAATGGGCTTGATGGACGAATATGGTGAAGCAAGGAACTTTGTGGTTGAAGATCTGAGCTTCGATAAGAATCGTGACGTGAATTTCTTCGAGACATCGATCCGGGTCCTCGGGGGTCTCCTTGGAGCCCATACGGTCACGAAAGATAAGCTCTTCCTGGAAAAAGCTGTGAGTTCACCCACGGGATTGCAAGCATGACTGGGAGTCACTCATGGCTTGTCTCATGAGAGATACGACAAACCTCATGCATCCACTCGGTGAATGATATTTGATATGAGTCATCATATCTATAAGGATATATCCGATCACGACATCTAATTACAGAGAGATATTGGCAATCGTCTCCTTCCTGCTTTCAACTCACGCTCAAATATCCCGTTCAGTGACGTCAACATCGGAACAGGCTCCGCGCACGGCCCCAATTGGGCGCAAGACTCCACTGTATCCGAAGTGTCCTCAGTTCAGCTTGAATTCCGTACCTTGAGTCGACTCACAGGTTAGTTCATTCCACTCGCTTATGTTTCCGACATGCGATCTCCGTTTCTCACGGGAGAACCGAGTCCACAGAGTGGCCGATTTCATCCCAAAACCTGAAGTAGGCATCAGAAGTTCACGCTCGAGCCTCAATAATGATCTGGTAGTCGGATTATCTTCTACGCTTCCGCAGGTGACTCCATTTTCGAAGAGAAGGCCTTCAATGTCTCGAAACACCTCCATCACTTGCCCAAAGAAAATCATTTGGTGCCGATGTTCATATCTACGGACACTGGTCGCTTCGGAAATGACCAAACTATAACTCTCGGTGCGCGCGCCGACTCGTACTACGAATATCTGTTGAAGCAATGGATACAGACAGGAAAGAAAATTGACTTCCTGAAAGAAGATTACCTCAAAGCTATCCAATCTGTCAGAGATCATCTGACGCGGCGCAGCTCTCCGAATGGATTATTGTTCGTCGGGGAGCTGAAGAACCGGAGGTTTTCACCGAAAATGGTAATCAATGTGAAGGCGCTGCGTGGAATAGACGGGCTGTGCTTCGATCGAGTTTTATCTGCTAGCTCATCAGGTTGAGCCTTCAGCGCTCCATAAAGCGGCGTATGACTTAATCCATTAGGACCATCTGGTGTGTTATCTTCCGGGGACTCTGACTCTGGGACACTTCGAGGGTGGCTTCCCGAAATGGCACCTAGATATGGCAATTGAACTGATACGAACATGCGTATCCATGTACAGTACTACACAAACGGGGTTGAGCCCCGAAATCGCTCACTTCAATCTAGCCAAAAACGGTGAGGACGACATAATAGTCAAGGTGAGTTCGCCATCCTCCCTCGATTACCCCATGATGCAGATTGCCTCTAATTTACTTCTCGACTAATACCCGACATTCTGACTCGCAGAGCAACGATGCGCATAATTTGTTGCGTCCTGAAACTGTCGAATCCCTGTGGTATCTACACTACTTCACCCGGAACGAGACGTATCGAGATTGGGCTTGGGACATCTTCCAAGCTTTTGAAGAATATGCAAAGGTATACAAGAGGAATTCGAGCGGTCTTTATTCAACTCCCGCACGATCCAGCCGAAACGCACAGTAAAGTCCTCGGAAGCAGCCTCTTCCACTCCGCTGCCGCCGAGGATTGAGCAACGGAGATAGAAATTTCGAGTGCTCTGGAACGCGCATCAAGTGAAGGAATCCGAATTTTTCCAGATCCCTTCAGGCGGCTATACTTCAATTGGCAACGTGCTTAACAAGCATTTCACGAGACCCCGTGACAAAATGGAATCTTTCTTCCTTGGCGAAACCTTGAAGTATTGGTACCTTATATTCGCATCGCGAGAGATACAGGACAAGTTTTCGCCGAGGGCGTATATTTACAACACTGAGGCCCATTTGCTTCCGATCTTCAATGACGCATAATATTGACAAGACGGGGCATCCATCCTACCTCGAGAGATCCTCCACTGAGAGAATCTGTCGCTGAATCTATGGTCGGCTACGATATAACGCCCAGCTGCCGGCCTGTTCTTCGTTCATAGAGACCGCAGCCAGAGAAGAATCTGCGGATCCATATCCTCTGCCACCCTCTCACCCCTACAAGTACTACGGTCTAGTCAATGCACCGGTGATAATGAGAGCCTGGAAGTCCAGGAATATATCGCCTCCGTCTGTAGAGCTTGATAGGTGTATCCGCGGATGATGCCTGGATTCCTACGCTGTAGCCATCTTCGAGCAACATCGATCGTGATATCAGTCAATTTGTCCACGGAACTCATGAATCGATCGCCGGTGATCGCTGGAATACGCCTAAGCTTCCGAGCTCTAGTGATAAATGTTGTGAATTGTACTTATCTAGGAGGGCACTCGTTGCTAGATGAGAGGCTATCCGTCATTGAATTCGGCGAGTCTTCTGACTCGGAACTTCTTTCAGCACAACTGATTGCATGAGGAGGACTGTACAGAGGGAGCCATGTACCGTGTACATATGATTTCAGCGGAAGTCCATGTAATAAATTTACCACTTTTTGGTCCAGAACCCAGACGGTTCGCGACTCAATATATTCAATGTATTTCGGCTACAGCAGCTCTAGAAAAATGGACGCTGCTCATTACCTCGGAGGGAAGAGGAACGGAATCACTCGATGGGAGCCATGGATTATCTATGAGACGCCCCCTGATCATCACGCTCTCGGTGGTATCCAGGATACCGGAATCCGGAATGATGGTAGTCTCGCTCCGTATACTCCCGTCGTGGATGAAAGTTTCCGCCGGAGTGATGAGAAAGTATGTGGAGGAAGCTGGCCTTGAGGGGAGGTCCAGGGCCCAGGGTGCGGATGAAGAGACGATATCAGATACCTAGCCAAATGAAGGATATGGTGAAGCCGACCGTTTGGAGACAGGAGCTCCTAGCTGGAGGTCTGCCATCTCGACATCGTCTTCCTCGCTTCACGAAAGTATAGAATCATCGTCTTCCGACAAGCGAGGTCCCTATCGGACTCGCGAAGCCGACGCCTGCCATTCGCGATCTCTGTGGGAGTTCGGGTATCTGGTTGCGATGACGAGTTATCGTTTCGAGCGAGGCTCCCTTGGAGATTATAATTTCCACTCTCGAATCCTCGGAGCGACACGAACACATGGAATGGCTCGACAAAATTAGAATTTACTCACAGAATGCTATTTTTACATTGAAAAACATGAAGTATCACCCTTACGGGATTGGCTTATGTGTGTAAGGTTCATCATTCAGCTCCAGGATCCCTGGGACCTCGAAACTGACAGCGCCTGATAAGCGAGAAGCACCCCTGACTTCCACCTATGACGGAATGGAGCTTACTCCCACGGAGTAGCTATCACAGTGAAGTGTGAAAGTCGATATCAGCTCTATGTCGTCGCATCAACAGGATCTTCTAACGCGCTAATTGGGTGATGAGGGCGGCGCACATCTCGAAGAATTCCATGGTATTGTGAAAACTATGGAGACTGCTCTCAGCAACGCTAGGATCTTGCGACTGATCTTCTGCATAAGGCAGGGATTTGAAATCAAGGAGATAACTTTTGTATTCAACTTGATACAATTGCAAGCTCATCTTAGCCGGTCGGCCACTCGGCGAGTTTTTGCGGCGTGCGCGAACGTGGAACTGATTCACCACTTTCCATTCCTGAAATACGGTAACATTCTTCATTAGCTCCCGATATTCCCAATGTTTCGAATGGGGTAATCCGTTTCCGACAACAGACCAGAGCATGAATAATTGTGCCGGCATCTCCGTAGTCATGAGGGTGCGGCGAGGCCTCCCGAAGCCGCGGGTGGAATTATAGCAAGCAACAGACGCGAGCATGCGGAGAAGAGAGAAAGTACTCACGAAATCGAGAGCTTTCATAGCTCGGTAGACTTCATTCATGATATCATGCGGCTTCGATTGAGAGCGTATTCCGAGGTGCCACTTAGCTCTTTTGTGCGGAGGTTTCGTGTGCGATGCCAACCCGAGGGCACCTCCGCCAACACTTCCCCCGAGGACGGTGCTCCCGATCGGCGTCGATGCACCGGCGAGTCCGCTCGTGGCTACAGAGTTATCCGAAGTATTGTTTACAGTCCCCTGGCTGCCAGCGCCGGCTGACTGAGTTCCTCGAGTATCGCGTTGCTCCTGACCCCCCGTACTCAGCAGACGGGCCCGCGGAACTCTTTCGGGATGCACGTGTTGACTTCCGCGAGAAGGGCTCTCTGAACTGCTGCTCAAGGGCGGGGGGCTAGAAGCTACGTAGAAATCTTTGATCTCCAGCTTCGCTGTCTCGTCTTCTATACGTTTATTGTCCACGATTAGGTTGTAGGCGATCGCCAGCTGGTCGTGAGGATTCCCGCTCAGAAGAGCTCCGTGCACCTCTTTTTCTGGCACACCGAATTTTTCGCAAACGACCTTGAGGATGAGAATTTTTCAGAAACTTTGTCGAGCGAAGTCGACGTCTACGCCTAGAGGGTGGACCTTCTGCAATGGCTAGCGATCGCCGCTCCGAGCACATCTGTCTCCCGGCGCAGGCGTGGGCGCAGGCCCCACTGTTTGCAATAGATGAATCAAATCAATCCTGAGAACTCACTTGAACTGCGTCAATGTCCACGATTGAAGCGTCCGCCTCGTTAGGTGGAGGGAACAAATACGCCGGAAGGTCCTTCTTGAACCATTCATGATTCTTGATGTCTTCCATCGTGGCTCTCTTCATAGGATCAACTTGAAGCATGTGGATCAGAAGAGATACCACCGACTTGTGCAGGTAATCCGGTATGGGAAATATTCCCGCTGCAAAATCCTTCTCAGTCAGTAAAAATGAGCGCTTCTGATGTTCTGGATTCTTAGCTTATCAGCTGCTGACGTCTGGCAGCGCGTGGCGGCATTCGTGGCAGCACGAATCCCGATGCTTCCGAGGTCCGGTCGCCGCAGCGATGATAATCAATATTTTCTCTATCTTCATCAATCCTTCCGATATCCCTCGAATGAACTGGAAGTTGATTCATTCATCCATTCAACTCCCATTTTCAAGTGATTTGACTCTCCAATCATAAAATCAAAGTTAATCTATTCATTCATTCATTCATTGAGGGTGTGTGGGCGCAAATGGCCAGCGAATCGATTATGACGGGACTTTGCCTCGGATTTGTGGCCTCAGATTCTATTCGACTGGGCAACGCTGCTCTTCCAGGGTCCGCTCGATGGCTTCAGAGCATGCCGAGTCAGAACCGAGGCATGCACCTGCCGGACGTTCACTTCAATCGCGCTCTGAGCCCCAGACTCGGATTGCTAATTGTTGAGAAATGCGCCTGCGAGACCGGCTCTGAGCTCCATCACCCGGCCCTCCACGAGGTCCGCTGCAGCGAATTCGCATCCGGTCGTCTGGCACGTCACGCGGCGACCGATGATCTCCTCGTGCGGTGCGCGCCACAGGCAGGAGTTCTCTGCACGACGGAATTTCAGCATCTGCAGCCCTGGTCTCGTGGCAAACGAGCAATCCGGGAAACGTCGATTGAGGACTCCTTCGCACCTAGCCCACGCGCAGTGGCCTCCAGAGGAGAGCAATACAAAGGGGTCTAGTACGAGTCGCCCCTCGGCGAATTCTCAACCATTCCTTCATTCCGCAGTCGGTTGGTGTCTGCGCGAGTGTCGCCTTCACGTTCGTGGAGGGATCGACCGGAGAATTGAGAGTAGAGACGAGAATCCTCGTTCACTGGTTTTCATGCGACGGATGTATCGCCGTCGGGGCTCAGAGGGGAAATTCGAGGCTCATCGCTTCTTCATTCTCCGGAACTCTGAATATGATTATCTAATTCTTTCGCGATAAAACCATAGTTAATTCATCCATTCATCATATTACTCACACTTTATCTTCCTGAACAGAGTTGGTACATGCTCATCATCGAACGGCAGCGTTCCGCAGAGCAGTGCATACAAAATGATGCCGCAAGACCAGATATCGACCTCGGGTCCCGCGTAAAGTTTCCCCGAGATGACCTCGGGAGCAGCATAGTTCGGCGAGCCGCAAGAAGTTCTCAGAAACTCCCCGTCCATCATCATGTTTGACAGACCAAAGTCTGCAATCTTCACGTGGAGCGACTGATCTGGAATAGCAAGCTGGATTCATGAACGCCTCTGCCGTTCGCAGTCCATTTCTATCCGGTCACGCATGATATAATACATAAACATCCGATGCAGCTCGCCTGTGAGCGCGATGCCAAATCGCCGCAGAAAGCTGACAGTTTCAATATGTACCTACATAGATTGCGATCTCAGTCAGAAATCATGAGAGCGACGGGAAGTCCGGGCAACATTGGTCTGCTCGCGGAACCACAGCGTAGAAGCTCCGATGGAGCGTCACTCACCCAACAGCAAGTTCTCCGGTTTGAGATCTCGATGCACGACCATATGACGATGACAGTAATCGACTCCCGAGATGATCTGCTGGAAGAAACGGCGGGCCTCACTCTCTTTGAGCTTGCCGTGTTTGACGATGTAGTCGAATAGCTCTCCACCCGAGACATACTCCATTATCATGAAGATGTCTGTGGGCGTCGAGATTACTTGATACCTGGAAATGAACAAGGTCGCCGTCAACATCACGTGTAGATGGGAAGATGGGGGAAATCTGATCGAAGACTCTGAGAACTGAAACTCAAAATCTGAACAGAAAACAAGGTACTCTTACAGTTTTATTATGTGAGGATGTCGGAAAAGCTTCAAATTTTGAATTTCACGACGGATTTTCCCCACAACATCCAAGTTCTTGATTTTCTGACGATTGAGTATCTTCACGGCGACCTTATGACCCGTGATTTGGTGTTTTGCCGCTGTGGAAGAATCGATTCCGACTCACAATTAGTTCCCGGAATCGTCGATAGACTGATCGTGAGGCGGAGAGGCTAGTCTCGCCCCCTGCATAGTTTTTCCCCCTTAGCTCTTAAGAAGGCAACGACATTGGATACACGATGGGACCTGCGGGGCATCACAACAGCCTCAGATCCAGACAATCAGCACGATTCATGATCAGCAATCCGCTACACTCACTCTTAACTTTCCCGAAGGTCCCCACACCTAGAGTCTCCCCGAGAATGTAGTGACCAATTTTCACAAGCGGCTGCCCTACATTGCTGCTGCATACTGCTCGATCACTCATCTTGGAGAACAAGCTCGGCCGACTCTCGTTTGGAGTATTGATTTTGCAACCGTTGATTCGCTCGCTGCTGCTCCTGAGGGTGCTGCCATCTGTAGTTCTAAGAGAGGAGCGCCTCGGAAAGCATGGCGGTTCGACCGCCGTTTCAGCAGCAGGAGAGGGCCCATGCTGGACATCGGCGCGGAAACAGACTGCGTACATTATTGCTGCCCGTGTCTTCCCCCATCGGACCCGCGTATAATGAAGAACCCGGATATACATAGAGACAGGGCTTGATTTTTTCACGTCACACGCACACATCCCCTCTCCGGCGGAAAATCTCAGCCGAGACATACTTGATTGAGGAGAGAATCGGATATGACATTGAACTCTGAGTAAGCTGTCTCGAGGAATGTTGGGACTCAACTCGAAATCGGGGCATGGGATCCGCTTGAGAGATATTACTTATTATTGCATAGCTCTCCACAGCCGACACGGGCACGGGAGTTGCTCTTCAGTCAGAGTTCACTCAGTCGTGTCGCCAATCCCCGCGGTCCCGGCTGCCTCCGCCTCTCCTCCAGATGGGCAACGAGGACGTATATACGTATGTACAATAATACCGACGATGGGCTCGCGAGGCCCTGAATTTGATGGGAATGACAGGGGGAGGGAGGAGGGAGCCGGCCTGGAGACTGCACTCCATTGACGCAAGGCAGACGATTCGCCCCTGGGATTCCTGAAGGCCTCATCTGCCTCATTTTTCCGGCAGATGAGGCGACCAATCAGTTGAGCAGTGCAAGAGCTTCGGAAGGGTGAGACTCAGGCAGGATTCCAAGTAGAAGTATGGGTCCTTGATTATGCGAGTTCTTAGGATCATGTTATAGCGGGCTTTTACCGCTGACGCAATCTACATCGCCTGACGCCGGAAGTCAAGACTTGCAGACATGGATGCATCGAGGATGCTGTACAAGACGTCTCAGGAATTCGACTTGACGTACAGATATTAACCCAGGGAGAGGATCATTGCGTTCTGATCGGCCCAGAGAGCGACATGGTCCGCTTCAATGGGACGGTGTTAGAGCGGGTCTGCACCTCCACGTAGCGCTCAAGACGGTCGGCGGAAGACAGACGCTGGACGGCGGGTAGATGAGGGAACCGAGCTCAAGGACGAAAATCAGCCGAACGATAGGGCCAAGGCTCAAGCTCTGGGGACACCCGAGGGACGGGGAGCGCAGTCGGAGAGGGTGTTCTCGACGCGAGTACGGAAGGTGCGATCCGGCAGGTAAGCCGAGCCCCAGGCGGAGGGTTCGTCGGAAAAGCCGTTTGCAACAAGCTCGGCGAGTAGACGAGTCTGGGAGACCCCGTCGGAGGCCTCTGAGAAGTTGAAATACAAGCAATGGCAGGCATTTCCAAAGCATAGCCCAGTCGTGGAGGTTGTCGAGAAGTCGGCATTCGGTGGATCGTCCCTCCGTGAAGCCGCTGACGGGTATCGAGTTGTCAAGAGCAGAGGAGGAACTCGTACATGTGGTCATCCATGAGGCGCTCCATGAATGATTGTGAGCAGAAACAACGGCTTGGACAATCCGGCGATATATATGTCTCCATCTCTCCGGTTTTCCTTTTTATGGACGGGACCAACGACCGAGCAACGGAAGGGATGGGGGACCTCTGAGTCAGCGAACGAGCGAGTGAAGATGAGCTGTGGGTGGGCGGGGCGAGCTCGGTCGCTGGCCTTTTGTAGAGTAACGGTGGAATTCACTCGGGAGAATTTCGAAGGAAAGCGGCGCAAATTCTTGGTTAAAGATTCTCGCGAGGAGACATAATCGCCAGTGGTGAGGGGAAAAGGCCAGGGACGCTCGATGATGCAGGGTGACCGGAGTATACCGAGAACAAAAGGATGAGAGGGCAGTGGCCTCGTCGCAGTCATCCATGGAGTCGTACACGGCCTTCCCAAAGTCATACTGAAGAGAATCGTCCGGCACAGGAGAAGACAGCGGAACAAGTTTGAACCATATGCCCAGGTCATCCGACTGGAGGGGTGGTGGAGCGACACGAGCCGCTTGAGTCGACGGATCCTCGTGGGGTTCCGGAACGACTTCCGCGAGACCCTCGGGGGTTCCATCGGACCAGAAATGTTCGGAACCACAGGACCAGGCACCAGAACTCGATGAGCAGGAGTCAGTCGCTCCATAATGGATGATGGATTGACACCTGCAAGTATCCAGGAAAAAAATATGATTGACGAATGGCCAACTGCTCCGGAAGGTCTCCATGAGAAAGGCGGATCCGCTGCTTCTTCGGGTCACAGCATCTCCCGATCCATGACTTCACTCAGTCAGGTACTTCACGCTGGGAACGTACCGTTCGGGAGGTTTCTGGTTCCGGGAGGACCCTTCCCACGGGAAGCCATCCGCGGGAGGTCCAATGATATTTTCTTCGGGTCTCCGTGTCTTTCGGGTTCCCGCCGCGAGCCAGGCTCCTCTCCACCGCAATGCTAGAGGGGATCCCTCGGACTTGAGCGCTCAGGCGAGCGGACTTCGTACCTGAAACTCGCGCAACAGCCCCTCTGGACTTCGCGCGTTGGGGCCGGAATGGAGGTATGGGGTCAATTCATGATTCTGCATTTTTCGAGACTCAAGTTATCGGGAGCCTAGGCAAGCATCAATCCGATTTGGCTCGCAGCCAACGTCATGACGTCATGCCACGCTCCGGCGAGTGACTGGAAGGCGCGGAAGCGCCTCGCGACTTCCCCGATATCTCTACCCGAGCGTCGGCGCCGCATCCGGAGACGGTCGCCCAGATCCGCGTTTGCGAGAAGTGCCGACAATGAGAATGAGGTGCCTTACATCATCGGATTATCTGACGCCGATGAACGGTGATGTGGAGACTGACATCAACAAATTCTTTTTCGAATGGCTCAAGATCCCTCCGAGCGATCGCACCACAGCGGAGGCTGGGAGAGCGCTGCACTTCTGCCGGCATCTTATGACGGTGCACGAAGGAAACGCGTCTGTTGATGCCCGAACACCTCTCCCAGCCAACATGGGGGACGTTTTCAGGGCCATAGCTGCCGCCAGCCTGTCATCAAACTCGGAACCGCCGACATCGTTCTCAAGGAAGACTGCCTGACTCACGATTGCGTGACATAATATTCTCGAAAAACTCCTATCACGGGAAGACGCCGCCGTTCCTTTGGATGCCTGTGCAAACGATGCCGTTCCTATGGATGCCGTTTCAAGCGATGCCGTTGCAACGGGTGCCGGTGCCGGCCCTACTGATGCCGCACCAAGGAGAGCCTTGCTGCGGTCCGTTGTGACGGTCTGTCTCTGCGGCCCGTAGTCGCCGTCGCTTCAGAACCATGGAGCAAGCCGCTATGACCGTGACGCTGTTAGCAGCGAATATTGGGGTTCTGAGAGGTCGCGATGCAGCGTGATTGAGCGATATGCAGCGTAATTCAGCGAGACACAGCGCGATTCGCTGACGGGGCTCAGCCACACAGAAGAACGAATTCCCGCTTGCGGACGAGCGGAGAAATCCCTGCTCCGCCCGAAGCGGCCGGGGTCGTTTGGAGTGCTCCCCACGGATGTTCAGGAAAAACATATCGCGGGCTTCGTTGATGTCATGCGAGCTAAAGTAGCAGGAAGAACGTCGCGGCTTCTATCCCCGTCGAAGACCTCCTCGTCTTCAAATGCGCTCCCATTGTATATTGTGTCAACGAACGTTCGCTACATACGAGAACATGTGTTCCACGACAACCGACACCGCTTGCTTTCCGGGAATCCTTGGAGAACCGAAATCGTAGCGTGTAACCAGGTACAGTGACCAGATTGAGTCTGCTTGACTATTTGACTTGACTACCAATTGACTCATTTGATATCTGAAGATAGGCGAGAATAAATTGAATGAGCCGATGGTCAGGCATCAGGCATTTCGGTCGAGTATTTTCCCCTTCCTGAGAATTTTTCCTCGCTCAATCGAGAGGTGAATGTTCGAAGTTTCCTGACACCCTGTCGCGCTCACGCATCTCCCTGTCTGCTTACCGTCTTCTTGATCAAGATGCCAGGGACAATTCTATCGACCAAGCAATATCACACAATTTTGAACGCTCGCGCCGAACTCGCCGCCCCACTCAACGGAGGATGACTATGTTTATTTATAAACACAGAGAGAGGCAGCAGGCGGAAAGCAGACTGCTTGCTCCTCTGCGAGCGGCGTTCCCCACTACTACAAATACCATTACCACGTGTGTTTACGGCCACGCTCTTACAACAATCTGGAAGCGCACGACGCCGATTGCATCGGTGGTTTGGTGTCATCGTAGGCGGAACAGGTGAGCTGAAGATGAGCGAAGTCCTCCGGGCAACCGTATCAAAGAGGGAGAAGTTACGGATCGAGAACTTTTCACAAAAAGGAAACATTCGCGCGGTTCCCCAAATGATAAGTCATGTTCTCCACGTCTTTGAGCTCCGGATCTGAGACATATATCGAGAGGCTTGGAGAATTCAGATTCTTGGCCCCGCGAATCGAGACCCATCGGAAATGGCACCTCTCCAGAGCCGACTGACTTTCTCCCGCGAAAGCTGTGAAGCTTGGGCGAGGTTCCTTGTGCATGAATGGATGGAGCATGAAACAGGAAATTATACTATTTGGGCCGGGTGCCGGCTGATGATTCCGCAGAAGGCTTCCCTCCGTGGACAGCTGGATATCCAATCGATCGAATCCTTCCTGGTCACTCCTCAGGGACGTCCTACGGATGGGGATCGCCATTAGGATGGAGGATCCAACACAGAGCTAACACAGAGCTTTCTCTTGTCTGTAGCATGAAGATCAAGCAGAAGAAGAGTAAACGGATACCGTGCGCGAAACGGTATCGAAATCAGAAGCAGCAGAAGGAGAGGCAGAGGAAACTCAAAAAAGAAGCCCGGAAGAACCCCATTAAGCCGAGGAACCCTGACAAGGACTTGCGAGTACCAAACAAAGCGCCCTTCAAGGAGCGTGTCCTTCAAGAAGCAATTCGGGTAAAAAGCGAAATGTTGGATCAGAAGAAGCTGCAGCGCTTGGAAGCCAGAGCTCAGCGCATGCAGGAAAAATTCGCGGTCCACTCGGGAGAAGACGCCGCTGCGTTGTCCGCCGCTGATGTCCCATCAGAGATGACTGAGAAAGCGGACCACGCTGCCCATAGCTTCGTGCAGGAGGTGAACAAGGTTATCGAGAAGTCGGACGTAGTAGTTCAGGTCCTAGATGCTCGGGACCCTATCGGAACTCGTTGTAGGGAGATTGAGACGGCCGTGGTGAATTCGGGGAAGAGATTGGTGCTCTTGTTAAATAAGTGTGATCTGATTCCTGCAGATAATCTTAAGGCCTGGCTAAGTCATTTACGACTGGAGCTGCCGACGGTTCCTTTTAAAGCGTCCACTCAGTCCCAGAACAGCAGATTGTCCCAGAACCGTGGAGTCAATATCCAAAAACTATATGAGGACGATGTGATTTCTAACAAGCGATGCCTCGGCGCGCAGCATCTTCTGAAAATACTGGGTAATTATTGCCGCAATCGAGATATCAAGACAAGCATCAAAGTGGGCATTGTGGGTTATCCCAACGTCGGCAAGAGCAGCGTAATTAATAGTTTGAAACGGAGCAAAGCATGCGTGACCGGTGCAACCCCAGGTGTGACGCGTCAGGCTCAGGAGGTGACTCTCGACAAATATATCCAGCTTGTAGATTCCCCTGGAGTCATCTACGATAAGAGAGATTGCGTTGCCGCAACCCTGCGAAACGCCCGACGGGTCGAAGCCCTCGAAGATCCTGTCAGCCCTGCTCTCGAGATAGTGAAGCGGGCAAACAAGGAGCAATTGATGCTTCAATACAAGGTGACGGAAAATTTCCGGGACGGTCAAGAATTTCTGGCGTTGTTAGCGAGAGCAAGGGGTTTTGTCGGTAGAGGCGGCATCTACAATCCCGACCAAGCGGCTCGTCTCCTGATAAACGATTGGAATTCGGGCCGAATCAAATACTACACTGTGCCTCCAGAAGAATCGTCCTCAGATTCCAAGTGGAGAATCTCTACAAGCATAGTCTCAACTTTCGCTAAAGAGTTCGAAATGGATTTCAAGTCTACTGACGAATCACTGATGAGGAGCTTGCCACGTATCATGCCATCGAGCTCGGTGCTGTTGGCGGACGCCATCACGGAGCACGACCTGGGCTGCGACCAGCATGAGTCGCAGAGGATGGATACGATCGATGTCGCTGAAAAAAACGACCCTGCCGCTCATCTTACAGGGGAGGTGAGAATTAGAGAGAAGCAGGGGAGACAGAAAAACTCCAGGGTTGATGACGGTTACAACGAACCGATTCGGGACGAGTCATACAAAAATCTTCGGCAGAACCGTGGTATGAAGGATTCCTTCAAACGAGTAAAGAAACTGCGCAAAAGGGCTGATAAAATTTCAGAGAAGTTGACGAAAAGTCTCAGGGATGCCCTCGGATAGATCTGCGATTAATAAATAATCTGCTGCTCGTCTTTTTGACCCGGTGACTTTTCATTCAGAGCTGCAGGTGACTGGTATGGAATAGTCTCAGGATTGGATGGGTTGATGGACCGGCTGTTCTAATGGGGAGGGCTCTGCCTGTCCTGGGTGGAAGGATCAGCAGCGCACCGCAGGAATGCTGCCCAAGCATGCCCGAGCCCATCGGAACCTTTCTATTCCTGTCCGTCGTGATACGTGGACCTCGTGTATATACCCTCTCCATTTCGATAGGCACGCCTGTTCATTCCTCGATCCCCGCATCGGTGAATTGTCTCTGTAGCAGGCTCATCCATCCCGCATTCGTCTGTTCTGCCGGACTCCGACCCGCTCCTGGGCCGTCTGCTTCCACGCGGGGAGATCGATTTCTCGTAGCGTAAGGGGCAGAGTCATGGAGTCATCGGGTGCTCCTGATCTATTCCTCCGCGAATCAATCAGAGCCGAACGAAGCGCTCCCCTGCCTCTCGGCGTTCTTCGTCGCGAGGATCTGTGCGATATATCGTCGTCGGCTGACATGATGTTCCTTGGGGTCGACAAGTATACTTGGCAAGACATGCGTATCTGAGAATGCTGCCGGATCAACGGGTAGCCGAGGAAGTCGATTGCACCCGCCATCAAAATAGAAATTCGCTCTCATTCATTCTATTCCCAAAGCACCTCCATTCAAGGTCGTATAACAGTGAGAGCATCCCTGTACGCTTCTCTCTCAGCACAGATCTGTGCGCGTATGTCGGCTCTCAAGAAACAACAGAGGAGATAATTCGCCGGAGCCTGTCCAAGGGCTAAGTCACCGTGATCCACCATGACAAGGCGTTGCGAAAGAGATATGTGCAGGCCTGGGACTTTGAGCGAACATAGAGCTGGTATCTGAGGCAGCTCGGAGACTCTTCGGGAAACTTATCCCATAGCTTGAGCCTTGTGATGTTTTCAAGTGCCGTAGTGTCTTCCGTCTCGAATAGACAGTACGGTCATCAGGCCAGGTAGGCTCGGGACATGAGCACGAGATCCGCAACGCCCTCGAGGCTGACGGATGATAATGTCCTCTATCAAGTCCATGGGCGAGCGATGCTCAAGCTCTGTCACGGACAGACTCATAGAGTCGGATGTGAAATCAGGGTGTTCTAACTTTGAAGCACCTAGAGATAAAATTTAAAAGCCGACCGGCCGAGCTCAGAAGGAAAGATACGTATGTGTTTTATGATTTGGAGCCATTGAGAGCGCAGGCACCCCCGTCGGGACTCTCCGAGCCCTTCCGAAAGGATTCGAGGCCCCGGAATAAGTCGCCGTTGTGGGGAGACCCCAGACGATACCGTTGTTGAGGATTCTATTGGGGCCCCGCACCATCGCCTTCGATTGCAGTTTCATCTCACTCAGTCGAAAGTGAACGAAGTGTGGTGCAGATGATTTTCCGGTGGGGCAGTTAGCTCTGGGGACTTCGGAGGCAGGGAATCGGTGAGGGTTTCAACCAGGAAACGAGATCGCGGGGTATCTATCTATTTCCATTCCGAGGCAGCTACATGCCAGTCGGTATGCCTAGACTCGTATAAGCGAGAAAGATGATGGGTCCTTTGAAGGCTGGTACAGTTAATTGGTGACTGATCGGCTGCCCAATGGGGGAGAGGAGGGACTAATCAACATACAGGCATCGCCTTGCTGCAGTCGCCTTGAGTTCACCGGGGCGATGATGTCAAGGGCATGCAAGCAATACTAATCAAAAGAGGTCGATTCCCAACAACCGTCAGTCGTCCTCAGCCAAAGTCTCTCACTCAGTCAAACATCTGTGGATCGATCATTCATTTCAAACTTCTCTCACCGAGCCAAGGTCATCGAGCCCCATGTTCACACCCCATCATCAAGCTGGCGTGATGAAAATATCTGTGAATGACAACATGAATCTGGAAATGAAAATCGCGGACGAAATTCAATTTCCATCGACGATCTCGAGGCTTGATCGCCTCAGGAAGGAGGGGCGCTTGTGTGTGCAACGGCAACGTGTGAACCTGAGCGAGGACCACTCATAATTATAATAAAAACTATGACCATAGGAGTGATCTCGACTCCCTCATTCCCCGGCTCCTGAGAAAATGCGGAGATGGGTGACCTGCAGGGTTGGCCAACTTTCCTGTTCTTGCGGACCACTGAGACCGTGGCGACGGAACCTGCGGACCCCCAAGCCTTAGTTCATAGGTATTTGGATCGGAAATGAGAACGAGCTCATCGAGAATGCCGCCTCGTCTCTATTGAACCTCATGCGGCACGTTCGGCCGTCTAATTACTGAGCACTAGCTATTGGAGTTTCCGCTGCGGAAGTCATGGGCCGCGACTGGATATCATTGGCTCCTTTTCTGAGAACCGCTTAGGGTGCTCCGCGGACCACCGAAATTACGGCCGAGAGCCACCACTGGTCCGCGGACCATTTTTTGGCCACCCCTAGGGGGTGCAATCAGCGGGGGGCGGTGGATGTAGAGCTGCCCTAAGCTCTGCTCTGCGTCCTCTCATCCTCGACTGAATTGAAAGTTCTCGATCATCACAGTGATCAGATGGAAGAGCGCGAACACCCGGAAGTTTGAAAATTCGTTTGGTGCTTGATCGGAAGCATAGATTTTAAAGTCGCACAATATCCGCTCAGTTCTGGAGAATAGGCGCCTGAGATCTTCGCGTCAAGACGGGTTGCCGATTCGACTGGCATTGTATGCTCTCAGGGCGAGTAGGGGCCGTGATGATCCTTAATTATCGATATCCGATCAACAATCTGGCCCTCTTTGATCGCAGACATCTGTTCGAGCGAAATATGCGTTGCATTGTGGAGGGTCATCCTCGTGTAGCCGTAGTCGGAAATACGAAATGCGCTCCAATCGGCAGGATTCTTCACGAATGGATCGACGTATTCTTGACAACCAGCCGATCCTTGAAAGGAAGGAGAATCATCGTAACTTTCCTGAGCTCTCCTCGTCTCATGCAAACTCTACCCTCGTCACGCTCCCTACCTGTTATGATATGCACTGGCGCTTTCGGGTTCGTGTACGGGGCTGAGAGGGATCCGTTGTAAACCTTGCGGTCATATATCGGCCACAGCCTTTCGTAAGAGTGTTCATGAGCGGAGAATTCCAAGTCGACTCCATATTTGTAAAATAAATCCTCGAGCCCTGGACGAGTATCGGGAGGTGATTAGATAGAGAAGGCTCGGAGCCGAGGTCCGAGACTAAGCGATACTTTTTGTAGCCGGAAGAATGATATCCATGATTGGAGTGAATGCGGGAAATTCGGAATCCGTGATCAGTGACATTAGAGGCAGCGATCTGCATCGCATGGACTTTTTTCAGGAGCTTGAGATCATGCGAGAAACAGAACTCACCATATGCGTGCATGATGGGTATTCCCCTCCGGACGATGCTCTCCTTGAAGCGGCAGTCGTCGTCGTCATCATTCGAACAGTACATTGGTCTGTGTCCCATCACAATAATCCAGGGATGTTTCGCTCGGTTCTCCGGTTTAGTTGCTTCGATGAGGTCTCGTTCCAGCCATTCGTACTGGTACTTAATCTGATGCCATCCGAACCAAATGAAGAAGTAGAACTCGGTCGAGTAACTGATGATATGAGCGGGCCCGTAGTTGAAGCTGAGGGGAATATGTCGAAACTTGAGGACTGGATTTGAAGGTATCGCTGTTGCATCAACGAAATCTCTTAGCTTCCATGGGATGAATCACCATGATGTACCGCATATGAGCGACCCATCGGGGATATTACTTTCAAATTGTTGTCCACGGGAACGAAGTTTCTTCTTTCAACATGGGGCCTAGGGGAAGCGGATAGTCCCTCATCGGCGGAAATCGAGGCTTTACTTCCATCGACTACGAGCCTGTCCAAGAAAATCGAGAGGAAAACCGGTCCGATGTCGAAACACGAGGGATACTCCGTCGGTTTCTGCACCCTCTCGCTCAGTCAGGTCTCAAAGATCCAGTCGGATCGAAAACGGAGATCAAAACTCGTAGTGGTTTCTCGGCATGTTCCAAGAAAGGTCGGAAGCAGCAATAAGCATAGGTCGGCAGAGCCGGCAGATCAGGCGTTGAATATGAAGCGTTCTCTCTATGCATCAATGTCAACAGTCCAACAGATCTGGCCCATGTCGAGCAAAATGGATTAGAATGATGTTTGGAGCTACGGTGTTTCGATATCAATCTGACTTTGAAAAATGTCTCCACCTGTAGTAGTGATTATTGATTTCCCCGTTCGACTGCACCATACTGAAGCGGTAATCGTAGTTGGAGAAGTTATAAGCGTTCTCATGATTTCCAGGACACGTCTGATACGGGACATATGCAGCTATCGGTTCAATCTGTCGCATGAATTCATCGCCGACGCGAGCATTGTCGGAATTCATGTCGTAGGCGAGGTCCCCGACATGAAGAATGGCGTCTATCACTCCTCTCTGAGTTTCCTCCTGGAGGAATGGGATCGAGTGACCATTGACGTTACCTGTAGAACATGAATCGCTGAAGATTATTATGAGGGGCTTCGACGGGTCTCAGCTCCCACACCGAATCTCTGAAGATAAGATGCGCACAAGAATGGTAACCTACCGAGATCCCCATAGACTGCCAGAGTTGGTGCGAAGGCGCTGTCATTGCGTTGAGCTTTGAACCAGAACATCGAGCTCCAACCATCAGTGCTCCCAACGTGATAGTAATAAGTCTCACCAGGCGCAAGACTTGTCATGAAAGCTCTGTGAATGTACATCTTCCTCTGCTCCGTGCCGCCATCAACATACAATGTGGAGTAGCCTGTTTCTTCGCGATCGAATTTGGGGGGTCCACTGCCCGCCGCTCCGAATCGAACTCTCGGAGTTGCGGTTTCATCGACTGTCAACCACGTAACAACCATCTGGGACGGGTCAGAACCTAGAGACAAGTGTATCTGCTCGGGCTGCAGATGGATCTCGTCGGCGGACGCGCGCAGCACACATATTGACACCAATAAACTAACGTGGAACCGCATGTCGCCAGAGCGAGTGTTGACTCAACAATGAGCGCTGTTCAACACAGAGTCCCTCAGCGGGATGCAGTGGATCACCGCCGTCTATCGAGAACGACTAATCGGCGATATCTGAAGAAATAGATTGGAGATTAGCCGCCATCTATAAGGGGTGTTATTGAGAAGAGGCGTTTGTCCGCTAATCATTGCAGGCAGTCTGAATAGGATTTTCGAAGCTGATTAACAATCGCGGGAGACGATGAAACTACGCCGATATCCACCGTTTCGGAGCGATATCCATTCCCAGGACGCTCTCACGTACGGTGAAGACTTTCAAACGCCTCGCCCCAAATATATGTACCTTGCACCGGAGAAAATCTATCGAGGAGATCAGACGGTAATGGTCGATCTGGAATCCTGCTCCTGGGGATGGCGGGAGAACCATTGTGCGCGCATTGGGGCGCGGGGCACAAGCGAACGAAATAAAAGCGCTGCGAGTTTCAAAGCCCGGCAATCTACATAACAAGTCTATCTGGCCGTCGGGCAACGCTTGATTCAACAAACATGGCCCATGGAAGGCTAGACGTATTGAGAGACGCCGACAACAGATGAGCGTAGATGTGATCTTCACTGATGTGAGATAATCGCCGACAAACTCCTCTATGAATCCTCCTCGGGCTCGGAGGCCACGCGGGGATATCGCAACATCGTTGGCCCGGCAAGCTGGACGAGGCTTCCAATATGCGGATTCGGCAGCATTGAGTTGCGTGGACTGCTCCCCGATAAATCGAGTCGAGCAGCGGAAACTCAAGAATTCCAGTGTCACGTTGCCCAACGAGATGCCAGCAATCTTTCTCTGTGGGCGTGAATTCGGAGTCTGCGGAATCCCACCCACACTCTACGCTATCGATGATCTCCGAGAGATCGCCGAATGCCGCATCCGTATTGGCAATATTCGGGGAGGCAATAGTCACACCGCCCCATGGAAAAGGATTAGGAAGTTACGACAGGAGCCACAAATAAGCGAAACGTGGGGCTCCATCGACCAACTATAACATAGGAGCCAGTAAAATACGAGCTCTCTCCACGAGCTCAATCCCAAACGTCTCTGGAAATCCTCTCAGATCGGGTGTGTTTTTTGATGACATGACGATGCCATGAATACACTATACATATGCAAGAGTTCAGGGCTAGCCGGAACACCTAAACGTGCGAAACGCGATCAATTACGAGCTCGGCTGAAGTAGAATAGCTCGAAGATGACATTCTAACCACGCATTCGGCACCGGTGAGGAGCATAACCCATCTCCACTCGAAGACTCTTCTCCTGTTAAAATGACTTTGATTGACACACTGAGGCTATGCTCTGTCAACGGAACCCGAGTTATGCGAAATTACGGTTGATCTCTCCTCGATCAACTCCCCGAAGCTTGAAATGGGACTCGCCGAGCCGCTCGCGCTCAGCCTCGCTCAGCAGGCGTACCCCGGTAGCAACTGCGAGTTCGGACCGTAGCGAAGGGCCGTCTGGACGGATTACTGCCCGGGTATCCGTCTTGAGGCTGTGTTCCCGGCTGACGGTCGCCCTACAATTATTTCCAGCCAATTCCCTCGGAAGCAACTTTCCCAAAACCGCGGGAGAATCCGGAAGAATGAGGGCGGGAAGTCGGTTCCCTGGAGATTCCCACTAATCATTCTGAAGGAGACCAGCCCATAATCGACGCAAGTTCCTGCACAATCGCAGGATCCATTCCTGAACGCAATCATGGATATCGACGCCAGAAGTCCCGTCGGTCCGGGATTCCATCTCCAGCGTGCGCACAGGGCTCTTCGAATTTGAAGTAATGTGTTTCGGAAGAAAGAAGATTCACCTCGATATATGTAGCAGATAATTATAAGGAAGGATGGAGAGTCTCCGCTTGGTCTGCTCACAGGCAAGCCTCCTGCGTTACTGGCATGGCACAGACAGCTCGCCATTCCGCGAGTCGGAGGAAACCCCAACGAGACACCTCGTCTTCCCATGCACAGGTCTCATACCAAAGCGAAACAAGACGAATTCTACATGCAACAATCTGGCTGAATCCTCAGCTACATCCGTGAAGTTGACCGAACGAAGCTTCTAGAGCTCGCGGGCACAGACTTGCCTACTTCAGCAGAGGAGGCAGAAAAATTCGTCTAACTGGAAAGGATCGCGCTGGCTCCGCTGCTCTACTCTCCGCCTAAACCATTTCTACATGATTACTGCGTTCGCCACCTCCACCACATCCACCTTTTCTTCTCGAGCACGTCGGATCATAGTTTAGCTGACACTCGAATCATAGTCTCCGATCACGCTAATTCGAGAGTCCGTACTTGCAGGATCGGGCTAATGAGGAAGTCCTCGAACTTCAACTCGGTAGCCCCTAACATTCCCAATCGAATGGTCTAGCCGAGGGGTCAATCCGAGATCTGAAAACATTCATCTCCATGTACCTGAATATGCAAGGAGGCTGGGAAGCTTTTGACTTTTCGCCGTTTTTCGCGCTGAATAATACAGTTCTACGCATACTGGCGGACGAGGGATTCGGGGTTCGAGGAAAAGTACGGTTGATTGAGAGGACCTCCCACCCAGAGGAGGGGAACCGTATGCGTGAAAGACAAAAAGTGACTTATTCCTATTATAAATGAATTTCCGACAAGGCTCCGGAGTTGATCGTCGGTGATGGAGTTGATGACTTCTCGAGCGAGCTGATCTAGGCGGTATTGACCGTGTTCGCATCCAGCGCCGCGGCGCTTGGGTCGAGGTACCGCAGGATGCGTGAGGTGAGCCCGCGCGTTCGGGTCGTTCTCTGAAAAAGATTGTGATGGAGATCACGAGCAGCATGTTTGTGGATCCTGATGCGGTCCTGAAACACGCAGCAGCACATGAAACATTGAGTGACTCCCCCCGCGCGGGCTCACCCCAACCCTTCCTCGAGGAGCTCCGGGGGCCCGCGGCGCGAATGGTAGGTGACCGGAGTCCGGTCGGGCATGGCCTGGGGTGTGTTCTGAAGAATTCGCACTGGAGTTTGTACGGGTCTCCCACAGGAAAGCCCGAACGAAATCCGAGCCTGAGAGTAGCCTCTTCTGTGGGGAGCGCCGGATCCAAACCAGAAACCTCCCGCAATATACGTACGATGACCCTTCTTGGAGGGCAGCCAGGTCCGTAATGAGTGCACCAGCTCGGCATCGTCGCCTCGTTATTTGTGATCTGTGATCATTGTAGTATGAACAGCTGGAGTCCGCGACCCACTGCACCGCCGGAGGCGAGGGAAGCCGAACTCCGGAGATGAAGAATGATACAACTGGAATAGAGCTCGGTAAGTTTCCGTGCTTGGGAAAAAACGATGGGCGCCTTGGAGAGAGCCTCCAAATTTATCAATCATTAAGAATCATCAACATCATTGTCAGCGCCGCCGGCATCATCGTGATTCGTGAGTAGTAAGAGCAATATAACTTACATACTTATCGTTAGTATATGACATTCCCACTGACGCGCGACGCCTGCTGCTTACACAGTGAGTTCTTGAATGACAGGATCTCCGGAGGCTGAGAAATTCGTCGGCACTGATTCCGTGTCCCACGCTTGACAGAACAGAGGCTGAGAGGCTTACTTGGACGTCATCCCGGTCAGCGGGCTCTCCGATGCAGGGAAATGGAACACCCTCTCATACTCGACAACAACCACCACCACCTCCGAATCGGTCTGCTCTCGTAGCACTAGGCGGGCTAAGCAGCGGAGCGGTCGCCACTTACACCAGTCACCAGAGAAATCGGTCTATCATCCATCAGCTCACCTGCCGCTGTTTTGTTATTAAGAGCAGCGGACCTGTCGTAGGATTGCTATGGATGGCGGCAACTTCTTCCCGATTGGCGTGTGCACTGTTTGCTCGTTGTAGCGGGACGGTGATACTACAAATTTTCACCGGAAGCTATTGAGAAAGGAGAGGAATCCAACCATGATAAATGTTTTATTATTCCGGATCTGATCGCGGACAATTTTGAGCTCGTGAGTATAATTCCCTCCGAGATCCTCCAGGTATAAGCGCTCCATTTCGGTTAACTTCCTACATTCATTCGAAAAGAATCTATCTAGAACTGCGATTGCCGATCTTTTCTCCTCGCCGGGAGACCGCTCCGACTCACGGTCCTCCGCAAGGAATATAGTTTGGACTTCCAAATCATGGAGAGCTATAGAAAAAAAGCTTGTGTGAGCGAAGACATCTCGAAGCAGAGAGTGACCCTCGTCGACGATCGGAGATCTTTGGATCAAGCAGTGAAGATCCTCCTCCGGTGAGACCCCTCGACTTGTCCTCCACTTGCCGTCCGTGAACTTTTCCTGACATACGTAGCGCTCTGTAGTTCCGGGAGATCCCACGGTCTCACACTCGTTACATTCCCGACAGTTATTTCATAATCGGTTTGGACGCTAAAGTTAAACGGAAGCGGTCCATCAAGTATGTTTCCCACATAATCTTCGCAACTTCCAACGAGCTGATCGTCGTCGATGTGAGGGCAATCGGAAGGATGCCCCACTTCCATTACAGTGATTGGTCAGCTCTTGGCAGCTTACTGGGCGATTCGATGATCACCAAGGTAAAAGTCACTGTCGTGCAACGAGCAACCCTAGGTCTCGATGCCATCTCCGCGTTCATTCTCCCGAAGAATAATTTTTTGAATCACCATCCTTCTCCGCACACGATTCAGATTGGATTTAATATGCAACAAAAGCAGCAGCTCATTAAGGATGTCCTCTGCGGGGTATTCCTCAACGGCGTCGTTGACCTACGTGAAGCTTTCCGAGCCATAGAGCTCACAAATCCCTCCTTGTCAGCGCCTCGGGGTGCTCCTTGTGAGGGACTTCGTGCCCTTCGGAAGATCTGCTATAACCTTCTCGACAAACAGGTGAGTCACGTGTGCAATGGCGCTGACATGTCGGAAGATCGGGGTGTAGGCGTGACTCGGCATAGAGACAAAGCTTCACTCGGTTAGCGAAGCTTATTATAACCAAGGGCATTGCCTTAACGCGGATGTCGCCATCCTGTATATTATTTCGAGACCTCAGCTGAATGGTTCAACATCAGATTTTTTTCCCAACGAATCGCGGTACGGGGAGAAGATCTCTGAAACCCCGTTCAACAGAGCTCCAAGAGAATGCTTCGGTGAATCATACCCAAGAGATTCAGGATTGAGTCTGTCTAGGCTGATGGAGGCACAGAGGAGGCTCCCGCGTGAAGGCATATCACCTCGAGGCCGGACTTGGCTTTGCAATGGCCGCGCTTCGCTGGAAAAAATCGATGCTAATGGCTCTGACTCTCCACGTGCGCTTATCAGCGATTCCCCATAGAGTCCACCCGCTGAGGGAAAACCGCAGATGGATCACGGTCATCTGCTGCCCGAATTCCAAACGGATCATTGCCTGGGTAGGGTCCAAAGCTGTGAATTCGTTCCGTCACGAGCTATCGCGCCCCATCGCGCCAGTGCAGAGCGCAGGTCCTCTGCTCCGGTCACGAAGTTCCGCACCATGTGCGTAACTCAGGGACGCTCGCGGGAAGAAGACCAACGGCGGTTGAGACGTCAAACGTCGCCATCATCCATATATGCCGCTGTTATTCCGGCGAACGGCATGTTTCTAATCTTCATACACCTGCTGGATTTCTAGAACACTACCAGCGGGCACAGACAGGCGGGCTGCGCACCGAAGCCGATAAACTGTCGATGAATATAGATGAGTGAGAACGGGGAATGCGGCTTCCCCGTGAAGCCTAAATCACTATATAGCTCACGAGATCATGCGTATGGAAACTGAGGAATGGACAGATACGTCCGTAAACCGAAGAACAGATGGATATTTTTTGGGATTGGAGAGAAGACGGGAGAGCCTCTCAGAACATCCGCGTCGAAATACGACCCGGTCATCACAAGGGCTGCACTATTCCTGTAGACCTCTGGTTTTCCTTGATCCAGCTCGATTCCCCGGCTAATTACCGGTGATGGCGATACTACAGGGGCGGATTTCGTCGGAAATCGCCGCGAAGAATTTATAGTCTCAGTCGTCTCTGACTCCTTTGTTCTCTTCGAGAGTGATATACAACTATCGAATCCCCGTCTATCGCCGCAGGCGTCCAACCCTTTCTTCGTCATAGCGCTCCTTCGAAATTCTTCCCGATTGCAGATGCCAGACGATTCGTGCGAAATTCCTGAGCTCGGACCCCTGTCTGTGGTAGCGAAACATGCGGTTGTCATGGAAGCTTTCATTGTTTTTCACGCTTACATCGAGCTGGATCGTAGGGTGCGACCCCAGAATTTATCAGCCCTGATCCAGGAACTATTGAGGGAGCCGAGTCCTGGCCAGTTTTTGACATTAAGCGTGCCATGGAGCTCCGTGAGTATCTTATTCAAGTTTCTCTGACGACCGTTTCTCTGCACCGAAGAGCTCCAACTCTCAATGATGCTCATGATCCAATGGAATTTCATGTATTCGCCAAGGTTCACTTCGTTGATACAGTGGATAGCTATCTAGATGCCGTAGAATATTTGAATGAATGCAGCATCCTCGGTTTTGATTCGGAATGGAAACCAAACAAAGGTCCTATCAGGATGGCACTCCTTCAAGTTGCATCGGAGGACAAGGTTCGTGCAAGCTTGAGGGTGAAATTCCACTCTAAGCTCCAATTCTCTGGGGTAGACCCTTTCCCTTGCCATAATATTCAAAATTGACTCTTGCAGGTCTTCCTCTTCGACGTGATGGCGTTGCACAAGATCCTGACATTTGGGGATTGGACGCTACTCAAATCCATTTTCACTGATCCCAACAAACTCAAACTCGGGTTTGACACGAGGTATTCTTCCGTTTGCCTCTGGATTTCTAGAGCTGTATTCTTAGAGTCTTTTTGTAAGAAAATGATTCTTGCAGAGATGATTCGAAACTACTGGAAGACTTCATGGGACCCTTGAGCATGTCGTCGGTTACCGATATGGGTGTCGTGATGCGCGCGATGGAGAAGCTGAGACCAGAGTGCATGTATCAGAGAGACGGCTACGTTTTCCCCGTCGTGCGCGGCCTGTCGCGTCTCTGCAACATTCTTCTGGGTAGACCCCTGAACAAGTCTAAGAAGCTTTCAATGACGAATTGGGAGAAGAGACCTCTGGCTCGTTCTTCCCTGGAATACGCGGCTCTTGACGCGCACTGCTTGGTGCTGTGTTGGAAAGAATTGATCCAAAGATTAGGACCGACGGCAGAGGACCTCATTGAGATCTCGGTCATCGCTTACAATGTAGAAACGGAAGCTTTGAAAAGTGTTCTATGAAATCTGTGATACGCGGAATGGTGCTGATTTCAGCAGCCTCAAAATAATCGAAGCAGTTATGGACGTCCGACTCTAGAGGCCTCGCAGGCTCCGCTGCTGCGTTAATAATTCCCAGTAAGAATTTCTGACCACAACGACACAGTGAGAAATTAATAAATGAGTTGAAAAATCTCTCATTACTCAAACCGATGCTCAGTTGGCTGAGGCAGTGCAATGGCTCTGAGCAAGGAGCTGTGAAATCGCGGTCGCACAGCCGCGTAGTGCCTCGAAGCATTCCCGGAATCATTCGTCCTGGATAATCCCTCAGTTCGGAATGCTAACCGATCCTGAGAGCTATCGCATGGGACAGGGCTAGGGTGAAGCTGAGACCCACGCCCGTTACTCCTGGAGAATCGGTGACAGATCGAGTTCTGAGATGTGGGACATTCCGCGATGAGCGGATAGCACCGTCATTTCCAGGTTCGCTCAGCCCTCCCATCGATTGGCTCTCCCCTCAATCTGCAGGCCATGACACGACCCTCGTCTCAATGGTCGGGCGCGAGTCGGAGCCCTCTCGTCGCCGTTCACATTTCGGTCTCAGAATGTGATGAAGTTTGTATAGCGTTCACTAAAAAAATGTTCCAAATCGCTGTTTCCTCGGCGGCATGGCTTTTTTGGCAACTCGTCATCCGCCCGAAAAATCCACCGAAGAAATCAATTCGACGAAGTCGGGCGTCTCGGCCGGCGCCTTGATGACGGACATGCCCGAGATCTCGATCCCACTGCCAGAACTGCACGGTGTTTCCGTCTCCACCTTCCCAGTTTGCAAGAGCTGCAGGGAGGCCGGCGACTAGCCTCACATTAACCCTCGGCGGAAACCCTGTCGTGATCTGGGCCGACTGAGGCACAGATATCTCTTGGCTCAATGATTGCGGCTGGAAATCACCGCCTATAATAATGGAAGCGTAATGTCAGTCAGTCGGTCAGTCAGTCAGTCAGTCCGTGAACAGCGGAGCGTCAAGGAGCACACGGAGATGATTAGCGATCATCAAGCCATAGATATTCATTCATATCATCATAGATATTCATTCTCGCACTGTGAGAAACGCAAGAGAGGAACAGCGAATATACATAAGGAGATGGCGAGAGAAGGATATCAATCGATCGAAATTCCTCTCGAAAATTGATACCGGATGCTTAGAAGCAGAGCAAGAAGATCGTAGACGAAAACTCCATAATGACACTACTCGCTGCCCCGCGTCCACCCAGCACCCGGAGGAGGAAACGTAGGAGGAGACATATGTAGAAGCAATGCAACCGAGCAAAGAGACTTTTCGTTCGTTCGAGGAAGCAGATACGGCAGAACCCTACCAGAGTCTAAAACCTTAGAAAACCTTATAGAGATGCCCGAGATAGATATCGGAAAGAAATCCTCATAAGCAAACGGCAGAAATGGGGAGAATTATGCGATGGGGGAGCGACGACTCAAGTTCCTGACGGAAGAAGTAGAAAAAGCCATCGAGGAGCTCTTCCTCAGAGGGATGCCATTCGAAAGAATCGAACATCACATAGATCCGGAGGAAATCCCAGAGATAAGAATCGACGAAGTGATTGCCGCAGCTCACAAACTCGCGGCGGGAAAAGCAGCGGGGATCGGGGATTGATGGAGTCCAACCTGATGCGGTCAAAATGCTGATGATAATTTTGCCCGAAATCTTCGCGAAAATGGTGGATCATATCTTCAAGGAGTCTTCCCCGAGAGATGAGATACGGCCAAATTGATTCTCATCCCAAAACCGGGGAGGACAGATGCCTACCGACCGATATGCTTAGTTGACACCGTAGCGAGAGCCGTTGAAAAAGTTCTGAACCAAAGACTACATGAAGGGCTAGAGGACGGAGGGAGAAATTCCCGAGAATCAAGACGGATTTCGATCACGAAGATCCACGCTCAAGGCGCTCGGGAGCGTATACAGAATCGCCGACCCGGAGATACAGAATACAGAAGCCATGGCATCGGGGATCCAGAGCAGTGATAGTTCTCCTTAATGAGAAAAACACCTTCAACTCCGTAGAATGGGAGATAATCGCGGATAGCCTCCTGTCTTCATACCTCAAGGACAGGCGCATCGCTGACGAGGTCGGACGGACACACGACATGACAGCGTGAGTACCTCAGGGCTCGGTCCTCGGGCCAACCCTCTGGAACGTAGCATATGACGATGTCCTCCGTATACCATCTCCGGAAGGAGCCCAGAGCGTCGCCTACGTCGATGACCTCGCGCTCCTAGGTGCAGCAAAGAATATGACAGAGCTTGGAGAAATTACACAAGGAGCGCTGGATCGAATAGCAAAATGAATGCGTGACGCGTGACAACTATCTCGAGCTGGCCCCACGGAAGAGCGAGGCTGCCATGCTCATCAGGCGGAGGAACGACGAAGACCCAATCCGATTGATGGGCGAGAAACCTATCTATCCATCTATCGCCGACAACGAAGCTACAACAAACTCTCTGCTCACGATCAGCGGCTGATGATGGACACTATATCTACACTCCATATGAACATCATAACCCTCCTTCGAATAAAAGAATATCTATCTATCTGTTGGATCTATCATATAGAAGCGGATGTATCAGGGTCTGTGGTTGACCTGTAGACTCCCAAAACGTTGAGCGGACCGGCGTCGATTTGGGTCTGATAGACCAGCCGGATTTTTCAAAGGTTCTATCGGGCTTCCTGTTTGTCAGCGGTTCACCGTTCCACCGAAAGAAGAAAATTATTGGGTCCAGGTTGGAGCTTCG